GGGCTGCGGACCCGCCGCCGCTCAGCCTCCAGGCCTGTTTTCTCATCTGCAAAGCAGCAGCCGCGCGTGTGTGAGCGTGTGCGCACACACACCCATGTGCAGGCATGTGTTTGCCTGTGTGGGGTGCCTGCTGAGGGCCCCACGGAAGATCGAGACACTTTGCGCGGGGTGCCCAGCTGGTGAGCACCGGCTACGCAGTATCAGGCCCCTCGTTACCACGTCAACGGCTGCGCATCTGCCCCTGCGGAGGCAGGAACCTGAACATAGCCGGGGGCGGCGGCGGGGGGGCTGCCTGCTGGGGCAGGAGGGGCGCTGGCATGGGCCTGGCTTGGTCTCCAAGGTCTGCAGCCAGCCTCTGGGTCTGGCGGTCCCCAGTCCCCCCGGTTTTCTCTGCCACAGAAGCCTGGTGTCCGCACGCCCAAAGCCTCCGGGTCGGGAGGCAGTGGAACCAAAGTGTGGCAGCTCCATGGTCATCGGTCGCCAGCCTGAGGGGGGCACAGCCCCCAGGGACAGACACCACAGGCTCTTCTAACCTCCCTCCTCAGCTACCCACACTGAGGCCGCGCCCAGAGCGGCCCAGCACGCCGGGACCCGGCCCCGCCAGCCGCCAACACCGCGCACAAGCCCCAGGGACGCGTGTCCCCGGGCCCACGCCTCCCTCCGCTCCCCGAGCCCTAGGCTCTTCATCCGCGAAACCTGATGACCCCAGCCAGCACGCCCCACCCGTGGACTCCCCTCACTCCCCAGGAAAGGGGACGCGCCCTGCAGGCAGAGGCCCGGGGTTACTGGGGGGCAGGGCTGGGATCGGCCTGGGCTCTGTCCAGCCTGACAGGGCTTTCCTGGGGCCACCAGGGCCTGGCAGCATGGATCTGAGCTGGCGTCCACGGCTGGTCTGGGACGGTGGGAACTGGGGGCTTCCCCGTCGCTCCGCAGCTGGTGCCCTGCCCACCAGAGAATGGGGGGCTGGGACAGGGAAAAGCCACCCGCACGGCTGGGTCAAGACTCCAAGCCAGGCCAGGCTGACCTTTCCCAGGGGAAACGGAGCCTCCCACCCCGGCCCAGAGCCTGGCTGCCCCTCCTGCCCAGGGTGGCGCTGGGCCGAGGGCGGGCAGCCAGCTCCCTGGGGCTGCCCAGTTCCTGGACATGCGCAGTCCCCACGCGGCAAGAGCCCCAGGGCAGGCAGCCTTGACTGCACACACGCAGGAGGGGGTGCCCGCCTGCCCACGTGGCAGCCTGCCCGCTGCCCCCCCCAACGCTTGGCACCGCAGCCCAGCTCCACCCGACCGTGGGAAGGCCAGGGCCCCCGTGGCCCCCCCGGCCCGTGGGCATCCCCCACACTCTGGGTTTCAATAGCTTCTCCCTGGACCACACGGCCCCGCCGCCGGGACACCGAGGCACGCGCCGTTCCCTCCTCGCTGCCTCACTCGCAGCGGCCAGGCCAGTCCTCATACCAGCGCCCCCCACCCCAGTTCAAACCCCAGCTCCGCCACTGAGCAGCTGCGGGACTGCGGCGGCTCGCGGACTCACGCGGGGCCTCAGCTTCCCCATCGGGAAAAAGGAACAAGAGCAGCACCTGCTTCCTAATGTCGGTGGGGACGAAGCGACGGAACACACGTAAAACGTCAGCCCGTCCCTAAGCCCCCGGAAGCATCGAGACGTCCTGGAGAGTCATGTGCTAGTCCTGCTTCCCGCTCCGAGTCAGCCCACCCAAGGCCCCTCCTCGGAGAGCCCTCCCTGGCCAGCCGGAAGCCCTAGCACCCCAGAACCTTCCACATGTCATTGTCCACTTGCTTACTAGCAGGTCGCTCCCCACCCACCCCCTCGCCTGGGTGCAGACGAGAAGTGCGGCCACCACCCCTCAGGGCCACACGCCCAGGTCAGAGCTGGGACGCGAGCCCAGGCTGAACGGCCCTGGAGTCTGTGTGCTGCACCGTGGTCCTGCCGCTTCTGAGCGCCTACTGTATACCGAAGGCTGTACACACGTGACTCGCGCACCCTCCGGACACCCCCAGAAGGTGGCATCCCAGCCACGTCCTGGGGACAACGGAAAGGGGCCGCGACAGGGCCTGGCTGCCATTGCCACCGGTGCCGCCAACGGGAGCTCAGCCCCTCTAAGACGGCGCCGCCCCGGGCGCCCCTGTCTCCCCCCACCAGAGCTCCGTCACGGCGGCTGTGCTGGCCGAACGGCGTCCCCGACACCTGGGAATGCGACCTCATCTAGAGAAAGTCTCAGGTGCGGTCAAGCTAGATGAGGTCACACTGGACGGGGCAGGCCCTTCTAAGAAGAGGGAGGACAGCTACATGCAGACAAGACAGGCAGGGACTGCAGATGAGTCTGCGGCCAAGGACGCCAAGGGCTGCTGGCCACACCGAAGGCCGGAGGAGGGCAGGCCGGCCCCGCCCCCGGAGCCTTCAGAGGGGGCACGGCCCTGCTGGCCCCGGGCGCTGGGCTGGCAGACGCCGAGCTGGGAGAGGGCGCACTTCTGCCGCTGAAGGCCCCCGGCTTGCCCTTTCTTAGGCGGTCCCCCAGGACATGGCTGCTGCGGGTGACACTCCAGTCCCCGGGGCAGGGAGTGCGGCACATCGATTTAAATGGCGGGAACAAGGGCGGTGGTGCCACCTGCCTCGGGCGCAGCTGGCTCTTGGGTCCTCTCCTGCGTTTCTGAGGCTGGGCAGAAGGCTCCGGAACGTTCTTAGCCTCCCCACCCCTGTCCGCCGTGGAGGAGTCGCTGGGGCTGCCAGCGCCAGCCTCCTCGCCACCCCCGCCCCGGCCACCGCCTGGAACACACAGCCATTAGCAGCCACCCTGGGCGGTAATTGTCCAGATTGCTGTAATTCACGGCGGACGAGCCTGCCGGCGCTCGCTGCCTCATTACAAATGTCACTGAGCAGGGCCTCAGCGTGACTCCACGCCGCCGGCTCCGTGGGCAGGGCCACGATGAGCTCACCGCCGCTGCCGCCGCCGCCGCAGACCCAACCTGGAGACGCTGGGGTGCGCTCCCGTCTCAGCAGTGAGTCAGCCCCGCCGTCCTCCTGGTCCCCGATCTGCCCTTCCCAAAGGAGGGCGAGCAGCTGCCACCCGGCCAACCCCCCGGTCCTGGGCGGCAGGGAGGGCATGGGGCCGGGGTTGCCGGAACCACAGAAGACACCGCGGGGAGTGGGAGGTGGCGGGAGCTCGGGCCAACAGGTCTGGGGCTTGGGAGGGGAGCCCTTCCTGCCACCACAGGTGGGTCCTGCAACAATGATGCTACCGACGGCGAGACCCCACGGCCCCCCACAGGGACAAAACCCCACGCATTCCAAGGCAACGCTTGTGGCCGGGCTACTCACAGCCCCCAAAAGGGGAAAGCAACCCCCAAGTCCGCCAACCAACAGCCGAACGGGTAACAGAAGGCGGTGTGGCCACACGGCGGAGTACGACGCTGCCAGGAAAAGGGGCAGAGCTTGGACATGCAGCGCCACAGGCAAGCCTCCGAAACAGGGCGCTGCCGAGGGAAGCCGGCCGCTGCCGACACTGAGGGGCAGGTGCCGTGGGACCCCCTCCTGGGAGGTCCAGAAAGGCAGGTCCCCAAGACAGAAGGCAGGCCAGCAGGACGAGGCTGGCGGCGCTGGGGGTCGGGGCAGGGAGAGGTGGCGCTCCTGTCTGGGGATGGAAAGTTCCGGAGCAGACAAGGGGAACAATCGCCCAGCGCTGTGCCTGCACGTACAGCCCCCGAATTATACACAGTACGTGGTTACAGCGGGCAACTTTATGTATATTTTACCAAAATTAAAGGGGAAACATAAATCACGTAATTTCAATAAAGCCTCTTTTGCACCCCTGATGAAATCCACACAGAAACCAGAGTCGCCAGACAGAAACAGACAGACAGAAACGGCACCGTGGCTCCTCAGGGGGCCGACAGCACGCCTGGCTCCCCATCCCCCAGCAGTGACGAGACGCACGCCCCCCCGACCCCCCGAGCGCGGCCCGGAGCCGCAGGAAGCAGGCCAGAGGCCGAGGGCCGAGGACCCGCCTTGCCAGCGGCCCGGGGGCCGGACGATGGAGCCCGGGAGAGCGGCTGCCCAGACAGGAGCCCGGAGAAAGGGCCCTGCTCAGTGTCCGGAACACCAGGGCCCCTCGGCACACAGTCCCTGGGTGCGGGTGGGCGCGGGGCAGGCGGGCCGCCCGTGATCCAGGGTCTCGGCCTCCAGGCCAGGCGGTCCTCACATACCCCTGACCCCGTGCACACAGGCCTTCGCTAGAAAGGACCCTTGTGCCCTCATCTGCTTGCTCCCTGGAGGTCCAGGCAGAGGAGCCACGGGGCAGCGGCAGGACCTCAGGGACCAGGGGCTGAGCCCCCTCCCTCCAGGCACGCACTCCAGGACCCGGGGCTGGGGTCGAGGTAACCGCACCGGCACAGCCCCACCCCCCAGTCCCTCACGCTGACTGGGACCCCCTTCCCACTTCACAGAGGGGACACTGAGGGTCGGGGACAGGTCACCAAGCCAGGAAGCGAAGGGCCAGGCTGTTCCTGCTCGAATGAGCATGCCGGCGGCCTCTGAGGGAGGACAGGGCGTTGGCACCACAGGACTCCGTGGCCAGCCACCCCCGGCCCTGCAGGGTCAGCCTGGCCCTAAGGCCCCACTGTGGCAGCTGCCAGCGGGCTCTGCCCTGCCCCCGGGGCGCCCAGGCGCGCGGCCGCTGCTGGCTGCAGGGCCAGGATGTGCCGACCCCGCCAGGAGCCGCCCGCTGCCCATGTGCACGGCGTGAGCAGCCCGCCTCTGAGCCGCGACCCGACAGCACCTGGGGACACACTGCAGAGCCAGAACATGTGGCCACACAGACGTGCGCTCTGGAGAGCTACACGGAGGCCCCCGGGGGCAGCAACTGACCTGAGAACGTCCCAGCGGCCGAGCCCGCCGCCCAGGCCACACCACCGCCCCCGTCCGCGGCCCGGGGAGGCGGCACCCTCCCCAGCCCCGCGGCCTCAGGTACGGCACACGCGGACGCCCCTCACCTTTCTTAGCCGTCTCCATCTCCTCCTCGGTCCAGCGGGAGCTCTCGTTCATCTCCATGGAGGCTGGAAGGGGCACAGGGGCGCGTTGGCAGCGGCCGCAGGGGCACCTTCGACGTCTCTGCCGCACGGGCGCTCCCAGGCTGCGCCCGCACCGCCTGCCTCCGCCAGCCCGCGGGCGTGGGGGCCTGCCGTCGCCCCATTTCACAGATGGGGAAGCTGAGGCAGTCCGGGCCTGGACCGACAGAGCTGCCTCTCCATGCGCCCGGCTGGGAAGGGGGAGGCCCGCCTGGGAGCATGGTGACAATGTGAAGATGCGGGGGCTAGGACCCCGTCTCAGCGTGGACTCGCTGCTGGGGGCTGTCCTGGGCACCGTGGCGTGTTTAGCAGCTCCCCTGGCCTCTACAGCTAGAGAGATGTTGGGGGCCCGCTCCAACCCTCACAGTCAAAAATGTTTCCAGCCCTGGCTGGCGTGGCCCTGTGGACTGAGCGCCGGCCTGCGAACCTAAGGGTCGCTGGTTCTATTCCCAATCAGGGCACAGGCCTGGGTTGTGGGCCAGGTCCCCAGTGGGGGGCGTGTGAGAGGCAACCACACACTGATGTGTCTCTTTCTTTCTCTGCCTCTCTCTAAAAGTAAATAAAATTTTAACAAAAGAAGTGTTTCCGGCCACGGTAAAACGCCCCGAGAACCTGGCTACAGGGCGGTTGCTCTGTTCTCCCTCGACGTGTCCAGCCAAGAACGAGGTCCCTCACGCTCCCCAGAAGGGGCAGAGCTGGCCGGGCCTCTGCCGTGGCACTGTGTCTGAACCTGTCCCCCCGCGTGTGGGCCCGGGGCCTCCCCCATAAGGTGCCTGAGACCCCGGGAGGGGGGTAGGCACGGGGGACGTCCGCTTCCTGGACTCAGCACCCAGAACAGTGCCGGGCACGGTGCACACGCCTGACACAGCCTGGCTGACCCGTGGAGGGAAATTCTGGCCAGAGGGGACTGTGGAGCAGGCGCTCCGGAGAGACAAGGCCCCACCCTCACGGGCAACCCCCCGCCCGAGGCCTCGGCCAACACCCCTTTCCTCCCCACGGGACCCCCAGACAGAGGCGGTGCCGTCTGGGGCTGGGGTGGGTGTGCAGGAACAGCCCGGCGTACTTCCCACCCCCCGTCCGGCCTGGCCCGCCCCAGCCGGGGTCCAGAGGACCTCCCTGGAGGCCGGACACGCCACGTATCACTGGAGGGGGTCCTGCCACCCCGGCCCCCGGGCGCGTGGGCATCCAGGGGCAGCTGGCCCAAATCTGAAGGAGCCACGTGAGGTTCGTGCCCGCTGGGCTGGGTTTGACCCCTGACCAACTCCATGACTTTGCAGAAGTCATGCCCCCTGCCTAGGCCTCAGACTACCCACCCACGAGATGGGTACAAGGGACCTCGCACGGGAAGAAGGGGCGAGTGCCTGGGAGAGACCCTGGGTGGCGGGGAGGGCGTGTCTGTGACAATGGAACATCCCCTCCTTCAGCTCCCACCCTGGGAAGGCGTCCGGGTGGCCGGGACCTCAGCCCGAGCGCGCGCAGGGCCAGCGGTGGGGCTTCCCATGGAGGTGGGAGAGTGCAGGCCACAGACATACACGGGCTGCCCCCCTGTGGGTGCACTTGGGAACTGCTACTCAATCCTCCAGCTGGACAGCAGGGAAGGCGTAGGCCCCAACCAGGGCCAGGGCCAGGGCCGGGTGGGGTCAGGCAGGGTGGGGACAGGCAGTACTCAGGTCCTTCCAAACAGGGGTGCCAGCCGCTCAGCTCCAGCAGCTGCCACCTGGTGGAAACGCGGACCAAGTGCACCCAGACCCGATTTAACAACAAAACCAAAACTGGCGATCCGGATCTTTATGGGCACTCTCAGCCCTGGAGCCATCCCGGCCGACGGCCACCGAGCACAGTCCACACCCCAGAGCCTGCTGCACTCTTCCCCCCACCAAGGATGGGTGCCGAGGTCACAGCAGCCATCGCGCACAGAGAGGCCAAGGAACCTGCCCCAGGTCACACAGCAGGTTCAGTCGGAGCTGGGGAGCTGAGCCTGCCCTGCAGCGGCGCCTCCTCCCCCGGCCCGCGACTCACCCAGCTCGGCGCTCTGCTGCGGGGTGACGGCCTCCTCGCTGTTGGCCTCGTTGGCCATCGAGCGGGTGATGCGGCCTTTGCGTCTCCCCTGGCTGTTGGCAGTCTTGCGGCCTTTGGAGGCCACCGCCTCCTTCTCGTCATTGTCCTCCCCAGAGGTGTCGTCCGTCTTCTCCCTAAAGGCCAGAGAGGGAGACAGGGCTGGCTTGGCCGGAGGGTGGTGGCGGGCGACCCTCGCTGCCTTAGCCGCCGGCCAGACGTCGTCCCTCACCAGGTGAGGGAGCATGGCGGGCGGCATCTGCCATGTTATGTATCACAGGGGAGGCGTGAGCTGGCAGTGCCCCAATGGGCACTGGGCGGCCGCCTCGTTTACTCGGCAGGGGGTGGGCTGGCCGCTCCGTGCACGGCCGGGGTGCACACCAAAGGGAGAGGCTCTCTGCCGTGGGCGTGGGGCGCGAAGTCACGCTGCTCCCTGCGGAGATGTTGCCGGCGGGGCCGTGGGCCCTGCGGGCCTTATGCAGGCCAAGCCAGGTGTGTGGGGCTGCGTGGGACCTCAAAGCCCAGACAGAGCAAGGCCCTTCCCCGAAGCCGATCCAGGAGGGTTAGCTGTGGGGCTGCTCAGATTTATCATCTTCACCTCCCATTCATCTTCCTGAAGGTCCTCCCCGGAAGTCTGGGAGACGGTGCGGGAGGAGGAAGGGGGGACCAGCCAGATGTTCTCTGAAACCACATTCCCGAGCCCGGCCCAGGTACCTGGCGCTGAGCCGTGCCCGCCCCCTCTCCCACTGCCTTCCCCCGCGTGGTGCTCCAGCTGGTGGTGCTTCTCCGCCCAGCAGGCAGGGGAGGCTGCACCTAGCTCTGCAAGGACTCCCACCGGCAGCGGGGATCCTAAGGCGAGGGCTGCCGCTGCCTGCACCCCGCATCCCTCCCGGCATCTCCGGAGACGCGCCCGAGGAGGGGGAGGGACGAGGGGACAGAGTTCCAAAGTCATCCCCAGGATTTATTAGCTTAGGAGTGGAGCTCAAATGAGCTATCAGTCTGCAAGGTCTCCGGTGGGTTTGAGAAAGCAAGGGCAGGCGGAGGTGGAGGGCGGGGGAGGGGCAGGAGGGCGGGAGGACGAAGAGGAGGAGGAGGGAGACGACGAGGAGAGCAGCGGGCTTCTGGGAGGGGGTCTCTCGGGGACAGAGCAAAAAGCGCCTCTCTTCCTGGCAGGCACTTTGTAGACACCCAGTCGCCATGTCCTCACACGCAGGCACAGGGTCCGCCAGGGGCCCCAAATCCGGGCAGAGCACAGACCCCGCCCCCCGGGGGTCACGGCCAGCGGCCTTACTTGATCAGCTCCTCCTTGTCGTTCTCCACGTCTGGCCTCTCCTCCTCCTTCTCTGCCTCCTTCTCCTTCTCCTCCTTCTCATCCTGGTTGCTCCGGGGCATCTGCTGCTGCTGCTGCTGCTGCTGCTGTTGCTGCTGCCGCCGCCGCCGCCAGGCCGCAGGAGGGAGCGGGGGAGAGGAAGACAGGGAGGCAGGTGAGTTTGCACCTGGGCTGGGCAGGCTGGCGGGTGGAGTTGGGAACATACGGAATCAGCCACAAGAGGCCACGGGCAGAGGGCACTGCAGGGCACGGGGCCACAGCCCCCAGGGCCTGGGGGGCAGGAGCTGCAGGGGGCGGGGTAGAAAGTGCTAGCGTTACGTGACGCCTGCCTCCTCCACTCGGTGGCCCTGTGACCTTGGATGAGAGTCTTAGCCACTCTGCGCGCTGGCTCTTCCCCCTGTACTCAGACAGGAGACGGCAGGCTGAGCTGCGGGAGCCCTCGGCCGCGGTATTTCCACGGAGCGGAAGCCACGAAGGCCGCGGGAGGGGCCTGTGAGCCTCAGACAGAAGCAGAGCGAGCACGGGGGACCCCGGGGCACACCCCTGGCCCCCCAGCCCGGCCGTCCCCGACTCAGGCCACCTCTCTAAGCCCCCGTCTGCACGTGGCTGGCCCGCCAAGGGCGGCCGCAGCGCGGACGAGGCCCTCACGGGGGAGGAGGATCTCCCCACTTTACAAGGAGCTCAGAGACGCTCACGGCAGAACCACCCTCCTCTGAAGGCCTCTTCCTTTCATCTCCGCCCAAGCAGGCGAGGCAGCTGAGGCGGTCACTGGCCGGCTGGCCCCACCACACTAGGCCACTGACCCTGTCCTCACCGGACGGGAGGAAGTGGGAGCAGCCGGCTCCTTCCCGCACAGCCGCCTCGCTTCCTTTCCGTCCTGCCCGATTTCTTCTAAAGCACACAGATTGCCTCGGACACCCCAAAATCCTCCCTGCAGGCGGCAGCCAAACCAGACCATCTTTCCATCCCGCCGAGCCAAGAGAAATGAAAATAAACCCACTGAGAAGCCCTCGGCGCGTCCTGGGGCAGTGCCACACCAATGCCCAAGCCTAGGGAAAAGCAGCCCAGGAAAACGGGAAAGGTGGGGCCAGGGCTGCCTCCCCCACCCCACCCCCGCCTTTCCTCCGCACCAGAAACACGTGCCTGTCAACGCACTGAGCTGCCTTGGCCTGCGACCCCTGCCCCCACTCCCTCTGTAGCTTTAGTTTGGGGTGTGGCCAGCTGAGCCCAGGCCAGCCGTGGGCACCCCGAGGACGCAGGACGCAGGCCACGGCTCTCCGAGGTGGCAGCGGGGCGCACCTGGAACCTCCCAGCCAGAGTTGGCCTCCTTCCCAGCAGCTCCCCTCTTCTGTAAGGGCAGCAGAAGGGGACTGGCAGAAGGGCCTCTCGCCCCTGTCCTGTTGCTGCTGACTCCCCACGGGTCACCAGTGCCTCTGAGCTAGCCTGTCCCCGCCAGTGGGACCCCTCAAAGCCTGCGGTGTGACCTTTCAGCGGCCGGGGAGCCACAGACGACGGCGCGGCTGAAGCCGGCCCAGGAGGGAGCTCATGGAGGGGTTTCCCATTTGTTCCAACACAGCTCTGCACCCTCGTCTGCCCAAGGAGTCGGGCACCAGAGCCCGGGCGGGTGACCTAGCTTGGCCAACTGAGGAGGGGTCCCTGGCAACGTGGGCCACCCGGCTGCCGCCGCTACCTGTCCCACGTGCCAGCTGCAGCACACCTAGGAACCCACAGCCAGGGCTGGGGACCGGGCAGGCAGAGGCTTTCCAGCCGCAGGGGGCCTGGCACCTCCCGAAACTGCCTTCGGGGCATCTGAGCCAAGATGAGCCCCAGCATCGGTGGGTTTGAATTCCTCGGTAACCGCAGCGCGCGGCCAGGTATGGGAACTGCGGCTTCAGCCCAGGGCGCGCTCTGTAAGGCCCGGCGGGTGCCCACTCCAGGGCCACTGTTCGGTCAGTCTGTCCGTCACAACCACTCAACTCTGCCCTTGCAGCGAGAGGGCAGCCAAACCGTACACACGTGGGTGTGGCTGTGTGCCAATAAAACTTTATTGACAAAAACAGGCTTTGTCCACCGCCCCCCAGCGCTGCTCCAACGGGAACAGACCACCTGAGGGAACGGGCACAAAGCAGGTCTGATTCAGGGGGTCTGGGGCAGGCCCGAGACTCTGAATATATAGGCAGCGCCCAAGGCAGCACAGTGCTGGAGTCCCCGGGCCACAGAACACGCCCAGGCCCCTAGCCACGGGCAACAGCTCACGCCCGTGGACTTAAGAGAGGCACTGGAAGCCAAACCCCCCACCTCAAATGATTCTGCAGCTCTCGACGGGGGTCCTGCTTTGCTTGTCAGACGCGCCGCCGGCCAGGCTGACCACGGGCTCCACACCCAGCGCTCGGCTGGGAGCGGCCCCTCCAAACCACAGCAGAGCTCTGCGGAAGACCTGACCGGATCTACGGTTAGCCAGAAACATCAGCTCAAGTCCCCGAGGGAGCCGGCCGCCGGAGCACTGAGTGCTGCACCAGCAGCCTGGGACAGCCCGTGCTGTGCCCACCCCCCGGGACCAGGGCCGCAGGGAGAAGGGCAGGAGTGGACACAGCCACTGCCGGCTGAGCTCCCCAGACGTCTGCCCGGTCCTACCTAATCAGTTACCTAGGTAACCGATTTCTCACAGCAACCTAATGTTACCTCTGTGTCGCGGAAGAGACTATACTACAAAGGCACAGAGAGTTTAAGTGACTCGCCCAAGATCACACAGCATTTCCTCGCAAGATGCTACAAGCAGGAGCTCTGTCTGCCACCTTGGGCCAGGAGACCACAGGCTCCCCGCCCCCGTCTAAGCCCAACCGTGCTACCCACTTGTCCATTCCCCCCGCAAGCACGCTCTGGGGCCCCAGGGGAACACCAACCACAGAAAATGAGGTCCCCGACTGTACGGAGCGAGAACATCAGCTGATGGAGACAAGTAACACAGGAGGGCAGACGGAGGTGCACCGGTGAGAAAATGTTCCACAGGCACAGCGCGCTGCTCAGCCCCGGGACGAGAGGGTAGCCTCTGGGCCGAGTCTCCAAGGCCTCTCGTAGAGATGGGCGAGGGGACACCGCGGGGAGGGGACCTTCGTGGGCCAGGCGTGCGGGTGTGAGAACGCCCACTGTCCTGACCCCGTGACCCACCAGACGAGGCGGCAGAGCCTGGCTGCCAGTGAGGCCCGCGCTGGCCAACAGGGGGGCGTCCTGCTGGCTGGGGGCAGAGGGGTGGGCAGGGAGGACGTGGCCCGGCCCATGCCGCAGGACAACGCGGCGGCAGCTGGTGGAGGGAGGCGTGGCAGGCGGGCCGGGAACCAGAGCAGAGCCCCATGACAGGCAGTGCCGAGGACCCAGGTGGCAGTGGGGGGACTGAATTCCCAGGTGACAGGTCCTCCCAAGTGTGCCGAGAGGACCTCCCGCATCCAGCAACCCCGGCTGCGCACCGTCGCACACGTTCATCCGACAAACGCTGTGCTGGGCACGCACTGCGTGCGCCGAGGGCCTCCCGCAAACAACCCAAGGGGGGTCTGCCCTCGTGACACCCTCCTCTCTTGGCAGAGGGGCCGGGGGTCCCAGGAGCCTGAGGGCGGTGGAAAAGGCGAGGTCAGGGGACAGAACCGAGGCCCAACAGGTCCCACTGCTGGCAGCCCCTCCCCGTCACTAATCCCGCCCGGGGCAAGGCGGGCCAGATGCCACCTTTGCGCGGGGGTGGGGCGGGAGGGGGTCTCTCTAAGACACAGACTCAGGTGCGCTGGAGCCAGCTCGTCAAACCAGCCGGGGGTCCAGCTCTCAAGGTTTACGTGAGCGTGATTAAACAGCCATTATTATTATTATTATTATTATACACTGAAATACATAACCTTACAACGAAAAAGTTATAATAAAAACAAAGGTGTAAGTCTGGAAACCCTCACTTCCCAGTTGTCTGACCACACGTGGCTGTTATCGATGAGGTTACTTAAGGCCACTGCATCCACATGGCGGGAGCAGGACACGATCCTGTGCCAGCCCCACGTCGGCGAGGGCGCAGTGGCCGCGGGGGCACGCACGGCGGGGGCACTGGCACCAGGGCCGTCGGCAGGGCCTCGGTCGCGGCTTTGCCCGGGAGCCGGCTGCTCACCCCCCTGCAGCCGCTGTGCTGCCAATGCACCAGCAAGCCTTTGAGCAACATCCAACAACACACACACCCCCGTGACGTCCACCCGTCTGCAAGGAGACGCGTCTGTGGCAGCCAAATGGTCCAGCAGATCCCGTCCGGCCACTGGGGGTGAAGGCGGAGCTCCGCCCAAACGAGCCCCACCCACCGCGGCCACCTCCAGGAGGAGCCATGCGGTCCCGCCTCAGGGCCTCTGCACTCGGTGCCCTCTGCCTGGGCCTGATCGCGCGTGTCTCAGCCAAAGGACACCTCCTCGGGGAAGCCATCTGGGCGGCCCCCTTCACGCCTCCCTCCCTCACCAGCCACCCGGCTCCGCCAGGTGGGGGTCAGCTCAGGGGACCTCGGGTGTCACATCCACTGTGGAATCACCCAGAATGGCAGACAGGGGCACCGCTCTCCGTCCCTATTCCCCGACTCGGCCGCGCAGCTTGAGGCGCCCGGATGCGAGGTCTGCCAGCACCCCCTCCCTCCCCTGGGGGATGCATGATCTTGGTTGCTGGGCAGGACTCACGTAGTCCAAGCTCTTCCATGCCCTTGATGTGGTCGCCCCTGCCGCCACGTCATGGCCACGGCCCGTGAGAAGGCTCTTTGTCTTCTCCCAAAACAGCAGCCCAGCTTGACGGGTCCCTGGGGCACAGCCCCCCCCCCGCCTCCAGGGGGCCTGCCTGCCAGCTGCCTCGCTGAGAACAGTGTCCCCTGGGGTGCATCTGGGGACTGCGGGGAGGGGGCCTCCCACAGGCCTGTTCTCACTTAGTGTTCAACGGGCGGGAACTGGGGACATCTGCTGCCTGGAGCCCAGAGCCCCAGCCCCACCCAGCGCAGCCGGCCTGGCACAGTGGCAGCGGCGGCCGGCGGCCGGGCCGCCAGGGAAGGGGACTGAGGCCCCGCTGGACGCCCACTCCCGCCCAGGCAGCTGTTCCTGAGATGCAGGAATTTCCCGCTCACCCAGGGGCACAGCCATTCCGGGGGTGGTGCGGTCCTGCCTGGCCCGCCACATGCCCCCGTCCGGGGGAGCCAGTCCCGGCCAACTGCAGGCGGCGGCCCCTCCCGAACGGGCCGCGCGCGGCTGGTCCCGCCTGGAACACCTTCCCAGGTCACGCTGTCCCCATTCGAGCTGCCCGAGCCTCTGGAGCGCCACAGCAACGGGAACAAGGTCACTTGTCCCTCAGCGGGGAGCTGGCGGAGCGGGCTGGGGGAAGGGTGGGAGGGGGGCCCCGGGAGCGGAGGGCGCGTGTGTGCACGCACACGTGGGCACACTTGTTTGAGAGACAGAGAGGGCGACGGAAGCAGAGCAGAAACAGAGGGAAACAGAGAGAGAGGCCCACCCAGCCGCGTGCGGGAGCCTCGGGGGTGAGGGCCTGGCCACGCCCCCCCGCAGTGGGGAGGCGGGGGGGGGGCAAGAGCGCAGGAGGGGGCAGCCCAGGGCCTGCAGGCCGGGAGCTGGAGGGAGCCCCGCCGGACGTCCCCGCTCGAGCCCCAGCAGGGGCATTTCCTGTCCTGGCGCCCTGCTCAGGGGACAGAGAAGACCACGGGCCAGGAGACCCACCTGGACCTGCTGCCTGGCTGCCCCCCTCTGCTCTGCGCCCAATGGGACGAGCCCAGCAACAACTCACCCCCGAGGACGTGCTCCCTCCGCAGTGCGGCCCCCACATCCCCAGGAGGGCAGAGCGGCGGCCGCACGGCCACTACCGCCCCCGGGACAGGCCCTGCTGCCCGGCCGGCAGCGGCCTTCTTCCCGGGTCCCCGACGGTTTGCATACCTAAGGTCAACTAGTCACCACAGCATTCCTGGGCTGGGGTTTGCCATTTGTTGGGGTAACTCAGCCCCCTCGCCCATGAATCATGACCTAAAAGCACCATGACGTCACCTGGTGCTGGGAGCTAGCCCGGCCTCAGCCAGTGACTCACCTTGGGGAGAGGACGTTCAGACCACGACCCAGCCCACAAGCTCACCGGCCACTCAGGGCTGAACCTTGGGGTACGGTCGGGGCAGGAGACAGGGGCTCGGCCCTTTCCTGCCAAGGCTCGGGCATGCGGGCTCCCGTGAGGGCAGGCCTGAAGGGCCTGGCGTGCCGAGGCTCACGGCAGGGCCCGTGGCTCCCCCCGTCAGAATACGGGGGAGCTTCCAGACAGTGGACAGCAGCCTCTGCTGAACAAAAAAGCCATCTCCGCAGTCCAAGCCCCCGTCCCCAGCCCCCAGCCAAGGCAGGGCCGGGCAGCAGCGCAGTGGACGCCAGGCAGGGCCGGGGGCGGCCAGGGGTCCGCGCAGCTCTGAGCGTCTGAGCTCAGACACACCGACGGCCGACGTGTCTCCCGGGGAGCTTCACGTTCCACTCTTACCACCACCCACGCTTCCCAAGCGCAGCCGCCCGACGACAGGCAGGCGGCTCCGGGCAGGGCGTGCAGTGCAGGCGGGGCAGGGCGGGGCACCACCTGGAAACGTGGGGGCCCAGCGCCGCACACGCTGCGGCTGCGCATTCGGGCAGGTCACCCCTCAGGACGGACGGGCCCGGCCCTCTTCCAGCCACCGCGGGTGCCCTCCGCCGTCCGTGGCCTGGGGCTGAAGACCGGGCCCTCTCAGCCCCCCTGGGAAACCCTCGATGGCTGGTCAGAGCTGCCAGGGAGCCTGCCCTGTGCCTCGGTTTCCCCTTCTGCCACCTGCTCCTGCAGCCGCTCATCAGCAGGGCCCGGGCGCCTGTTAGAAGCACGGGCAGCACCCTCGGGCAAGCGCGAGGGCTTCAGCTGGATGCCAGCTGCATCTCGGGGTCTGCGACTCAGCCTCACCCCCAGGACCCCCGGAGGGCACAGCCCGGGGACGCTGCTCTGGCCACCGGCCGCCGGTGTGGGGAGGCGGGGAGGCAGGGAGGCGGGGGGGCTCTGCCCAGGGAGCGGGACTGCCCACTGTCAGTCCCCTGCTCCATCCTCAGACCAGGCACCCGAGCCCGGAGCCCCAGGGCGCAGCCCCTCACTGCTACCTGCTCCTGGGCCACTGAGGCAGCACCGGGGACATCACGGGGGCAACCCTGCCTCCGGGCCCGGGGCACGAGCCAGCTGGCCCCACGGAGGCCCCCGTGTCTGCCTCGGCAGCTGTTCGTCGAGATGGCCGATGGGTGGGCTCGCCGGATACCCGCACTCGGCTTCCTGAGGAGCAGGCCAGAGGCAGCTGGGTCCCCGGGCAGGCAGTCGGTCCTCAACAGAGGCCCCTGGACGGAGCCCACACTGTGCACTCTGCTCCGCGGGAGGAAGTCTGGCCTTGGGGGAGGAGCGGGAGGGCCGGCCCCGGCTGGCGCGCCAGCCGCCCTTGCGGCCGTCCTGAGCAGAGGCGTGGCCCCGAGCCACAGAACCCTCCAGGACCACAGACAGGGGCCAGAGCCTCTGTGGGCACGGCCGCCGGGAGAAGAGGATTCTGGGGGTACAAGAGAGACAGGGGGCGACGGAAGAGACAGGCCAGAAAGGAAGCAGCCTCCGCATCTCTGAGGCGCACTTGGGACCGGGGATCTGAGGGGCTCTCCAGAGACAGACAAGACTTGCCGCTGCTGTCGGCCGCTGCACCGAGCGGAGGGGCTTCCCAGGGAGAGGAGCCAGAGCCACGGCCGCACCGGAAGCCGCTGTCGCCGCCGGCCCCGCGGCTCACGGACGGATGCCCCACAGACCACGAGGTCCGTGCGCGCCGGTTTCTGAAAGCCTGGCTGCAGACAGACCTGGGGCCCAAGGTTCCCCTGCTTCCCCGTCTCTCCGCGAAAAGCAGAGCACGGCAGCGGGGTGCGGACGGGGGCCCTTTCTTTACATGGGGAACCCCAGCCCGAGACACCAGCTTGAGCAGAGGGTAAAGCCGCCCCAGAGCAGCCCCACGGCCTTGCATTACAGGTGCCACAGGGCAACTCGGCCGCGAGGGAGACGGGCCCCTCCTCCGGTACGAAACATGCCGGCGCCCCTCGGCGCCCCAGGCCGGCCTGGCCGCTGTCCTCAAGACGCCACCCTCCTTTCCCTCCCCGTCCCACCCCACTCTAACCCGAGCCCTGGCCCGGGGGGTGGCGGCGGGTTTCAGGAGCAGAGCGGGGGCTGTTTGGCCTCTACCGTGCGTTACTGTTGCTTTTCACGCGACCTACGATTTAAAATGAGGCAGCTTCACATAAAGCCAGATTTCCAGTTATCAGGAAAAAACCCCGGAAGGTAAGGGCCACCCGGCGGGGCGTCAGGCAGCGCCGACACGAGGCGCGAGTTCTCCGTCACCCCCAGGCCTCAGCGCGCCCTGCTGCCTCCCTCGGGCACAGTCCCGCGGAAGCTGTCCTCCCTCATCACCTGCGCAGGTGCACTTTCCCTGTTTACCCCGGAAATGTGAGCGAGAGAGAGAGAGAGGGTCCCCCGGCTTCTATCTCTGCTCATTGGGGACCCGAAGGGGCGGCGACCTCTGCTCCAAAGACTCGGAGGGCCCCGCGCCGCGGCACCCTCACGTCCACCCGGTCCACTCGCCTCGGTGGCCCAGGGCTCTGTCCCCAGTGGCCTGGGGAAGGGAAGGCGGCCGGCGGCAGGGGCGCTCGCCCAAGGGACCCTGGGGCCTAGCGCCCCGGCTCATGCGCTGCGGGCCTTCGTTGCTCTCCCTGGCCTCCCTGAGGTCACGGTGGCTCTAGGGAAGGACACACCTCAACAAACGCTCCTCCGGCATCGCACAGCTGTGCCCGGACCCCGACCACGGCACAGGCGCCCCCGGAGCCCCTCCTCCCCCGGCTGCTCCCAGGAAGGGGCCAGGCTGATTCTCAGCAGCCTGGGAGCGAAACAAATCCATCCCCGTCCCTCTGCTCCCAAACACCAAGCCCTCACGGCCCCACTTGCAAAGTGTGCCACAGAACCCTGCCGCCGTTACTAGTATTTACTGAAATTTTTTTTAAATCAACTCCTTGTTCTTTCAATGCAGAAGGTCAACAGGCTTTTTCTGTAAAGAGTCAATTTTCTAGGCTCTGCGGTTTCTGTCGCAACTACTCAGCTCGGCTGTTCTAACAGAAGAGCTGCCACAGCCGCGTGTAAATGAATGGGCGTGGCTGTGTGCCAATAAAACTTTATTCACAAAAGCAGGTGGCGGGTTGGAGGTTGCCAAGCCCTGATCTAATGTAGTCCTTCAATCTCACCCCAAGCAGTGAGGTCTGAAAAATTACAGGTTCAAGTACAGGCTACTGTTTCTTTCAAATATGCATTCACACACACACACACACACACACAATTATTATAAGTTTTTCAACGTTAAGTGCGGGGACCAGCCCACATCAGCCTGGGGACACAGCCCTTGCTCGGAAAATGCAGCCTTTGACCACCACAGGGCCCGTGGGTCACCAAGCTGAGTTCTAGAATTTTCCAGGCTCAGGACAAAGTGGCTGTTTCTCTCAGGTCTGTTCTCTGCCGCTGGGGAAGGCTGCACATCCCCAGAGAGGGCGTCCCGGCCCCCCCCCGCCGAGGGGGACCCACAGGGAAGGCGCCGCCGCTGAGCATGCTGGGAACCGGTCCCAGAGGCCCACTGCCCGGCACTCGCTCGCCTCTCACCTGGCTTTTCCCGCGGCGCCGGTAGCTCCGCCTCACTAGGCTCTTGTAGTTCTCATTCTTCTTGGTCAGGTAGTAATAGAGGACGCACTCGGCCACCGTCTGCGGGCGGGGAGAGAGGACGCTCAGCGCGGCCGGGGCCAGGGGCCAAGGGCCAGGGTTCACACCCGCCTCCTCCGTGTCCGGCCGCGTGGCCTTGGCCGGGCCACCTCATCCGTGCCTCAGTTTCCTCACCTATAAAATGGGGGCACTAACAGCCCATACTTCAGGGCGGTCATGAGGCCAATTAAGTCAATAAGTGCCCGGGACAGCGCCCAGCCCAGAGGACACATGATGGAAGCGTCCCCTGCTCTGCTGTTGCTCCTTCTGGTGAGTGTCGCGACGAGGCTGTCATCTGCCACTCTGGCCCCAGGACACCACGGCTTTCGGCTCCCGGTTGGGCAAATTCAGGTCCCCGATCCAGGCCCAGGGTCCCCTTTCTCTTCACCCTGCCCGCCTCTTCTCTCGTATTTGGGGCCTGAACCACCTCTTCCCAGCCTGGTGCCTCCACACTGACCCAGGTCCCCACACCACGCTCCACCGCTTCCGGAAGCGTTTACGGCTTCTCTCGGCCTCGGCCTTTTTCAAGGGCACCTGGGCCCGAGCCCCTTCCTCGTCCAGAAGGGCCCAGTCGGGGGGCGCCCTCAGACTTGGTGTGGGACTCCACACATGCCTGCCGCCACGAGCCCCGCTCCGTTCAGGCCAGGGACTCGCCTCTGGGGGCCGCTGCATAGGTGCTGCCGGGTGCCGAGGCAGGAGGCAGGTGTCCCTCGCCCGGGACAGAGGCTGCTCCCGGGCCAAGCCTGCCCCGCACGGCACTGGAGAAGCACGTTTTATAATCGGGGGCTGCTGGGTGCGAGCTGGGGGGTGGGCGTGTCGGATGTCCCCTTGAACAACTCAGGAGGGCACCTTCCCCAGGTGGGCGCCCGCAACTGCCTCCCGATGGCCGCTGTCCCTGCAGACGAGCACGGCCCCAGGTCCCCACCTGCCGTCGGCCTCGCTCACCCCCTGGGCTGGCTGGGGGCAGTGGGTGTCCCTGGCCTCAGACCCTTCTGGAAGCTCTCGTCAAGTCCTGTCCTGGGCCCCCCTCAGCCAAAGAACACTCGCGTTTACCCTGGTCCAGCGCAGGGACCGCCCATCCCTGTGTCCCCACACAGCGCTGCTCAAGGGCCAGTTTTGGAACCCCCGCCTCTGTCTCCAGGGCCCCCACCGAGCGCCTCCGGGGGTGGCCACGCCCTGAGCAGAATGCCGTCGCTAACACGGGGAAAAGGCTGCGAGGAGGGACCCGAACAAATCCAGAATTATCTTCTGGAGGGTGGCCTCGTGTAGGATCGGCTTCCCCTGCGGGGCGAGTGCTCCAGGAGCCCCTCTGTATCAGTGCGCCAGCTGGCGCTGCGGTGAGAGGCTGCGTTCGGCTTCAGTGAATTTTTTTTTTTTTTTTGAAAACGCATCTGCCCGTCCACGATGGGTGATCTGCGAACGCACCAGCCTGCGCTGAGTGAGCAGCAGTTTTTGACCAAAGGCGGCACGGCCCCCGGGGACGATTCTCCCTGTCCACTCAACTTCACCTCAAGTGACTCTTTTTTTTGTTCCCCCGGATGAAAAAGGTCCTCCAAGGGAAACATCTTGCCCACACCACAGGGAAGAGGTGAACCAAGAAACGGCAGAGCCACCAAAAGGCATCGAAATCACTGAGTCCAAAAACTGCTTTTGAGCCGTGGGAAGAGACGTCTCGATAGGTGCACCGTGTTAAACGGAGAGCACTTTGAAGCTGACTGAAGCTTAAGCGTGTAAAAAAACCACACGATTTTTTTTTAAGTACATTCTGAGCTTTTCTGGTCCCCCCTCGTCTCCCCCAGCGCCCTGTCCTGCCCGTCTCCGGGTTCCAGCTCCTTAAGGGTAGGTCTAGGAACAACGGGGACACGTGGAGGTCACCTGGCCCCGCCCACCCCCCTGCCACAGCCCACAGGGCACTGGCAGAGCTGGGGGCAGGTGAGCGCCCCCCGAGAGACAGTGTTTGGGGGGATGCCACCTGCACGCCCGGAGCAGCAGCCCTGAAAACAAGCCTCTGCGGGGACCTGGTCTTGTGACTCCAGGGACCCGAGGGCGGGCTCACGGGTCACATCCAGCCCCCGCGCCAGCTCCCCCGACCTGCGGCCGCTGTGGGCACTGCCCTGTCCAGCCTCAGGGTGCACAACGGGGGTTCTACCGTCCCTGGGGACACCGTACATCTACCTGCCAAGAAGGAGCCGGAGCGGAAACGGGCCAAGGTGGGGCTCGAGAGCCAGGGCCACGTGGAGTTGTGTCTGAGGAGGGCGGGACCTGCCGGCCACACACTGGGCACAGCATCAGGGTGGCAGCACACAGGGAGCATCAGAGGAACTAGAAAGGCCCCGGCGTCCAGCCCCTGGGGAGAACGCCGCGCTCGCCTATAAAGCCTTAATTAGGGCGCCATGGCTGCCAGAGCCCATGCCCAGCCCGCAAGGACGCCGGCTGCTCCTCTGAGGCGCAGAGACGCCCTGCACACGGCTCTCCGGGTTTCCCCGCGCGTCGCCCCGCCTCCCTGGGCCCGGGAGGCGGGGGCGGGGCCTGTGGCTGCTTCTCCCCGGAGGGGAGGAGGAGGGAAGGACCGACAGACGCAGCGACCGGAGCAAGGGGCAAGCGGGCAGAGGCCTCGCAGGCAGGGACAGAGTGGACGCCAGTGGGGCACGGGCAGGGCGGCTGGGCTGGCGGATGTCGACTCACCTTCCTCTCCAGGAAAGATGCGATCAGGCCAAAGTTCTTGGGGTGCTGCATGAACCTGCGGGGAGAGGGGGGTGGGCCTGAGACCCGGCCGAGGGGCGCTCCCCGGCTGGGCAGCCGCCGAGCTCCCGGGCGCCTGCCATCTCTGCTGGCCTGGCTGGACGGGCGCCGCCCCACTCGGAGCAATTAAGCCCACGGGGGTGTGGGAAGGGCTGGGCGGGCGGGCCAAGGGCTGAGAGAGGGCGTTCCTGGGAGTGAGTCACTGGTTTTAGCGCCTTTGAAAATATATTTGTTTGTCCTGCTGGAGGCGGCTTCCAGGAAAAATGAGGACATGACATGCTCTTTGGTGGGGTCCCCCCCTTTTAAAATCTGCTTTTGTTTCTATCTCCAGCTGGGCCTGGGAAGCTGGCCTCGCGGGGCCCACACGGGGGCCCCACCCGCGAGGCCGCAGGTCAGGTCTCCAGCGGTCGGAGCCCAGGCTCGGCACCCTTGGGGGGAGGGGGTGGGGGGGAGGGCAGCGCAGGCCAGCCAAGGAGGCGGTGAGAAGGGACTGCAGCCAGAGGGGGCGGCGGGGAGCTGGCTGGCGCCCCACCAACTGGCTTCCTGCAAAACTGGGAGAGTGACTGGGAAAGAGCCCCTCCGGGCTGCAAGGCCAGGGCCGCGGGACCGGCGGGCAGCGGGGGCGGCGATGTGGGTCACGGCTGCGCAGGCCCCAGGGGTGCTGGGTGGGGTCACTGGCGAGGCGGGGGCCCTGGGCCCCCAGAGGGAGCCTGGGCCAGTGCCTGTCCCTCCAGATGGCTGGGCAGGAGGCCAGCGGGCCCCGCCCCGCTCCCCAACCAGACACCGGAGAATCCGGAAGGGCCTCTTCTCTCTTCCGGGAGGAAGCCGGCAGCCGATGGCGGGCTTTCCCGCCTGGGTTCCCGCCTCAGGCCGCCTGCAGAGCTGGAGCGGGCCTCGCGCCCCCCTTTGCAGACAGACGGGCTCCCCGCGCCTGCCCCGAGCACCCTCCTGCCCCCCCGGGACTTCCCCACGCAGCGCTGGGCCCCGGAGCCCGGGAGTCCAGTGTGGAAATTCCTAGGCTGCCTGTCCACCTCCCTCCCATCGACACTCGTGTCCTCTGCCACCAACACTGAGAACTGCCTGTGGTGGGGACGCCTCACAACAGCTAAACAGCGAGGCGCTGGGGCTGACCCAGTTTACAGACGGGCAGGAGGCGGCTCAGGGCGGGGGCGGGGCTCCAGGCCACCCACGCGTGGTTTTGAAAGGCCCTGAGCCCCAGCCATCCTGCCGGAGATGAGACCCCAACAGCGGCCACGCTCCATGACAGGCGTGTGCTGCCAGCCGGGGGCCCCGGTCCGTGAACTAACAGTGGCAATCCCTAGGTCTGAGGAGCAACAGGAAATCTCCAGAAAGACTGAAATAAAGGAAGCCCCCAGGAACACCTTTTTTAAAAAAAATAAATAAATCCACAGAAATATTAAACGTGCCAGGGGAACGTCAATTCCCCATGCAACAGTCAGCCTTAGCATCCCTGGCTGTTCGACCGTCGCTTCACTGGCTTGAAAGCGAGTAACGCCTCACGCGAGACTTGCTTCAGAGCGGGAGCCATCGTCTCTGATTCCAGCGGCCCGGCAGGAGGTTCCCGGGACCCGGGCTGCTCGGCTCTGAGCTTAAACCCCCGGCGCACCGCGGGGACTGCCGCCCGCGGCACCACTTCCTGCAGGAAGCTGCTGAACCGAGGCCGCGGACAGGTGGCCCTTCCCGTAGGGGCACATCCTGCCGCCGCCCGGGCCCACCCACCGGGCCCCCGGACCGGGGGAGGCTGCCCCAGGCCCGGCCCCGCGTCCGGGAGACACCTTCCCCGCCGTGCCAACGTCCAGGGGGCGGCCGGCGGCCCGGAGTCTGCCTCCCGCCTGCCTCCTGGCGCGGCACCAGGACCGCGGCTTGTCCGTTCACCCAGGCCTCTGTGGCCCGCCCCCCGGCCTCGTGGGGTCTGAGGAGGCACCCTGCTCAGGGTGTTTTCCCGCCCCCCTCCCCACAAACACCATCGCTCTGCCGTCACCTTCGGAGGCCACAAGCTTCCCTCCTCAGCATCCGGCGCCTGCCTCTGCTCCCAAAGCCCCCCCGCGCCCCAGCTCTGGCTCCCCCACAGGCCTCTGACTCCCACGGGCCCCTTCCCCGAACTCGGGCAGCGAAAACTTTGCCTCCACCTTCCGCACGCTGGGCGTCCTTCCATAAATGTCTGAGCCTCTCTGAGCCTGTCTCCTCACCCGTGTCAGGGGGCTGGCCCAGCTCTGCAGTTATGATCGACGAGGAGGAAAAATGCACAAAACACAGAACACATCTGCCCAGGGTCTAGGAGGGAGTGCTGAACCAATCGCCGTTGTCAAAGCAAAACGAAAACCTGAAAGCCACTGGCCCGCCAGGTATCCCTGCCCAGGGCTGCAGCCCCGCCCCGAGACCCGCCCGCCTTGTGCTTCCGACGACCACTGCCTCGCTTCCCGCAAGCCGCCTCGACCCTCTGTCCCAGTCATGTAAACCGTGTCCCCCAGAACCCACGTCTCCCCAGCACCGCAGCACAAGACGCTATTTGCCAATGAGACCTTCACAGATACAGCAAGATGAGATGCGGGCAGGGCAGGAGGGTGCGCCCCCAATCCAACGTGAGTGGTGTCTTCCTGAGAAAAGTAAGAGATGCGAAGGACACAGGAGAACACACGCGCGCACACACACACACGGAGATGGAATGACCAGGCTCCAAGCTCGGAAGAGACAAAAGTCGCCGGAAGCTGCCGGAAGCCAGGAAGGAGACAGGGAGCAGAAGAGTGTCCCTAAGGGCACACAGAAGGCACCTGCCCTGTGGACACCGCGGCCTTGGACCTCTGGCCCCCAGCGCTGAGACCATCGGTTCCTCTTGCTCTTAGTTTGTGTCCCGGTCATGGCTCGGGCGAGGGCAGGGCCGAAGGGCGACTCGGCCACAGGGGACTCACTTCTCCCGGAAGGTCTCCTTCTCCTGCTCGCTCCACATGTTCATGACCTGGCGGTCCTTGTACACCTTCATGGGGTCGTCCATGAGCCCGTTCATGTTGATGAACTTGATGCGCTGCTGGTCGGCGTCGTAGAGCATCGGCGGGATCACAGCCAGTTGGCGCATCTGCTTCTCCAGGTTCTGGGGGGAAGAGGGAGGTGGTGGCCCATCAGGGAGGGCGAGGCTCAGACGGGGTGGGGGAGGGGCGGGCGCCCCGCCGCCGCTGGGGACCCGGGCGATGTGCAGGGGGAGCGGGTGTTCTGAGCGACAGCAAGAGAACGTGAAACCAGAGAGAAGGAAAATGACGAGTGAAAAAATAACACAGGCCTGCGCTGGGGGGAGGGAGGATTTAAAGGCGGCCCTGGACAGGTTTATGGTGGGCAGGGCTGTAAATCAGGTGCCGAGAGCAGCGGCCGCCCTGTCTGCCGCGAGGGGGGCAATGAATCTTCCTCTGGAAACGCAGGGCCGTAAAACACCACGGGAAGATGCTCGGTGCGGCATGGCCCAACGCGCCCGGGAGCCGTGCCTGGCCATCCAGGTTCAGAGGGCACGGGGGGCGGGGCGGGGGCTGCAGAACCACGGGCTCCCCAGACGCCCAGCCCGGCCCTGGCGCCTCCCAGCGCCCACCTGGGACAGCCTGCGCAGCCCACGCGCGGTGGGAGTCGCCCATAATGCATCAGGACGGCCATCAGAGGCCTGAGCCACCGCTCAGCTCAGCTCTTCTCCCCAGATCTCCGCAGCAACCTATTACTGGCCTTAATTACCCACCTCCGAAGGCGGCCAAAGACCCAGCCGGGCCAAGGTCAGCTGGCTCAGAGGATCCCCCGCCCAGCCTCCCCGTCCGACCTCACCACTCAAGCGCCGGGGGAGGCAGGGGTCAGTCCTGGCCTGGCTGGGAGCAAGGCCCCCCGGGGGCCTGAGCACCTCCCAGCCTCGCCTCCCCAGCTGCCCGGGGAAGAGCACTGGGAGGCCACAGCCACGGTCACAGGCCACGCAGGACCCCCGCTCTGCCCTGCCCTCCCCACAGGGCCTGCGCCCCGACTGCTGACTCCCCCCGCCCCTGCCAAGGACAGGTAGCTCTCTCTTCCTGCCCAGCCCTCCTCCCCACCCTCCCAGGGACCCTCAGGTCGGCTTGGGCTGCTGAGGGGACGTTCCCGCGCTGGCCCCTTTCCGACCCTCTGGGTGCTGCTCCCTCCACACCCCGGGGATGCCAGTGGCTACGTTCTCCTGTGGTCGGGACCTGGGGACGCCGAGTCAGCCCGATGTCCCAGACCCGGAGTCAGGCGGTGGGCACATGGGGAAGGGCCTCCCCGCTCTGGCTTCCGGGGCAAGCCGAGCCTGTTGCGCCGCCACGGGACACACCCGTGGCCGCAGCATCGGGGGCGGGCACAGGAGCAGACCACCAGTGCGCTGTGGGCAAGACACCCCGAGTTCTGCTTTCTGCCGACGAACCGTGTTTGAAACAGGGATGTAGCATGCCAGGTGTTGAAGAGAAGGCAGGCTCTTTTTCACTGGCCAGAAAGTGAATTGTCTGTGCCAGAATCACGTGGGCAGCTTGGTTAAAATACAGTCTCCTGGGCTGCGCCCTACATGGGCTACACCAGGAAGTCGGGGTGGGGGGGGGCACTCAAGAAAACCCTCATTTAAACCAGACGCCCCGCCCCCAGGACCCTCGGCTATCCCACGGGACACCCAGGGGCAGGGCAGCGCTGTCTGACCCAACAGTCCACCTGCTCTGTCCCGGGGCGGGGCCCGACACACGCCGCCGCCGAGCGCTTTCAAACGCGGCTGGTGTGACGGAGGAACTGGGTTTTTCATCGTATTTCATTTCAGCTGATTTCAACATCGACAGCCACTGGCCCCTGCACGGAGCTGGAGCAACAATACGCCCCACCTGGACAGACATCCCCGGGAGGAAGAACACGCCCCCTCCTCCTCTGAGGCTCCCTCACGTCCGTCCGCTGCGACTTGGGGACAAGGCGGAGGCGGGCCCGTACGTCAGACACTCGACCCCAGTGACCTGGAAGGGGCCAGGCTCTTCCCCAGGAGCAAGGCCTCCTCCTTCTGCTTCCGGACCATCTCTGGGCTCCCCTGACTGCAGCCAGGGCCACCCAGGCTGACCACCAGGTGTCCAGGGGCCCCAGGTAGAGGGAGGCTGAGCTGGAGCTGGCAGGGCTGACAGAAGGGCCCCACTGGGTGGTCAGCGGGGGTGGGGGACCCCTCTCCATCCCGCCCTGGGCAGCAGGAGACCAACCCAGACGCCCAGCTCCCAGGTGCCCTGCCCCCGCCCTCCAGCTGGACTCAGCCAGTGGAAGGCACTGAAGGAAGTAGGGGCGGGAGGATCAAGATGCTAGAGAATGGACCTCCCCTCAACGTCCTCTGGGAGAGGTGACGGAGCCACGCCCGCCCTGTGGGCCCTCCTCCTCCTCCTCCTCCTCCTCCTCCTCCTCCTCCTCCTCCTGGGCCCCAGGCACGCGCCCCGCCCCCACTCGCCCTTCAGCCCCGGCCCGCACGCACGCCCGCGGAGTGGATCGGAGCTGCGGCCGCGGACTCACCTCCTGCTCCGAGAGGCCGTCGATGATCTCCGACACCTCGTGCTCGCTGCGGGCGGCCGACATGGAGAGCCCGCCGCCCCGCTGGCCCACCCTGCTGAGAGCCAAGCGGACACACTCAGGACCGGCCCCCGGCTGCCGGCAGCCCTGGCCTGAGCCCACAACTTCCCCAGAGGCGGCGTGTGGGCAGCGGGGAGGGGCCGGGGCGCCCACGCCCACAGGGACAGCCCCAAGCCGAGGAGCCCCGGGCGGGCACGGAGCCCCTGCTGGACCCAGCAATGCCAGAACCCCAGCGCTCCGGGGGCTCGGCCGCCTCCCTCCCAAGATGCCTCTGAAGACCCAGCCACACAGACCCATGTCCGCATCCCGGCCCAGCCCCGGCAGACCCGTGCCTCAGTTTCCTCTCCTGTAACTTGGGGGCACAGTGGCCCCAGCTCCCAAGGCTGGGAGGGGGCATCCGCAGGAGCTATGAGGGTCCAGTAAACAGTCAAGCCTGTAATACCACTGCTCGTGGCTCGACACCTCCTCTATGTACACTAAAGGAAAAGGGACAACAGGAACCAGAGCCACCAAGGGGGCGGGGCGTCGGGCGCAGCCGGAGAAGCGCTTGCTCCCGGAAATGCACTTCAGCCCCCGGTGAGCATTCGGGCCTGGCACGGTCGGAGCGAGGCCCCCGAGGGCCCGGTGCGGCCCCGGGGCCCCCGGTCTGAGACCCTGCCGCGCGCCCCACGGCCCCGCGGAGGCCCGGGGGCGGGGGCGGGGGCGGACGCGAGGAAGGCGCCCCGCTCACCTCTGCATGCGCTCCTGCAGCTCGCGCTGCTTGCGGATCTCGGGGAACTGCTTCTCGTAGTACTCGCGCACCTTGCTCTCCTTGGCCCGCCGCCGGGGGTTGTTCTCGATGCGCTCCACCTTCTTCTCCCAGGCCTCCATGAGCTGGTCATAGCGCTGGCAGAACTTCTGCTCCTGCGGGCACCGCGGGGGGCGCTGCTGAGGGTCCTCCCGCCCCTGCGCCGCCCGCCCGCCCTGCTCGCACGCACGGCCACGGACACGCACAGTCGCATACACGCCTGGTCACACAGACATGCACATGCAGTCACACGCATGGTCACAGACACGCTTGGTCAAGGAGACATGCACGCACAGCCACAGGCACACATGACCAGCCACAGTCACACACACACATGTATGGTCACACGGACATGCACCCTCGGTCACAGACACATACGCTCCATCACCCAGAGGTGCACATGTGGTCAAAGGCACACGCGGACAGTCACACACCCACACATGGTCACACAGACACATGCACGCCTGGTCCCACGAGACCTGGGCAAACCCGGGCCCTGCAGAAAAGCCGCGGGCTTCCCCGAGGGCAGAGCCGCCTCCTCCCTGGGGAACGAGCCCCGCCGGCCTCCCCCCAGAAAGGCCTCGCCTTCTGGTAAAGTCCACCCCGTCCCCTCCGCGGCTGTGCCTTTGGTGTCAGACCCAGGACCCCACTGCCACTGCCCAGGTCGTGAGGGTCCACCCCTCGGGGCTGAGCTCGGAAGGCTGTGGCTCCTGCCCCCGCACTGCGGCTCCGAGCCTGTGCTTTAATGCTGGGTCAGTCCTGTGAGCCGGGGGTCCGGTTCCTTGGGGAACAAGTGTCAACCTGTCCCAGCGCCATGTGCGGGAGAGGCCGTCCTCTGCCACTGAAGGGACTTGTTTCTGGGCCTCTATTCCAGCCCATTCATCTCCATGTCTGTCCTGATGCCAGGAGCACTATTTTGACAGTAACTTTTTAACACGTTTGGAATTGGGAAGGGAGCCCTCCAACATGGCCGTTCTTTTTCAAGGTTGTTCTGGTCCTTCGGGGTCCCCTGCAGCCCCACATTCGGGACCAGCTGGCCGTGGCCAGCGTGCAGGGCCACCTGAATGCTGGGTGCCACCCTGAGCTACCGCTCCCTCTACGGCCCAGCGTCGTGGGGGCTCATGGCGCCCCCACTGAACAGAAGGGGAAACTGAGCCCGGAGGTGCAATGTCTGGTCCCCGGTCACCCAGCGGGGACAGGCTGTGACCCGCTCTGGCCCTGCCAGGCGCAGCGTGAGGCAGCTGGGTACTTAGGGGGGCCATGGGGGTGGGTGCCCTGGAGGCATCCCCAAAACTGGGGAAGGAAGCCTCAGGCCAAGGGACAGGGAGGGCAGCCAGGGGAGACGGTCGCCTGGTGACCCAGCGTCCGCCAGAGCCGCACAGAGCCCATGGCCTCCTGGACGGCCTGCCGCAGGGCTCGGCAGCACGGGCTGCGGAACCAGGAGGGCGCAACCCCTGTCCCCGGCTGTCCTGAGACGGGGCTCGGCCTCCTCTCCCAGCGTGTCCCGTGCTGCGCGAGGGTGACGAGGTGGGTGCCACATGGGGACCTGCAGGTTGAGGGCGGGGGACGGGGGCGTCCAGGCCAAGCCCCCTCCTGGGGCTCGCGAAAGCGGCGTAGGCAGGGGCTTTTGGCTCAGTGCGTAAGATCGAGAGCCAGATCACCCCGAACGCCCTCCTGTCGCGGCTTCTACCGCCTGTGAATCTGTTTCACAGAAGGGCCCCTCTTAGGACAGGCTCCGCAGAGCCACCAGGGATTTCTGAGAAGTCTCTTGTGCCTCTATCTTCATCTTTTCCTTTTTTAAAAATACTGTGTTTTATTGATCCTGCTGTTACACTTGTGCTGGCTTCCCCCGCTTTGCCCCCTCCGTCCAGCCCCCCGCCAGGCACCCCCGCCCTAGTTCACGGCCAGGGGCCATGCCCGTGAGTTTTTTGAATAAGCAGGTTTCCCCTCCACCCACTCATGGGGCCCCCAAGGAGCCACCTGAGATTTCTCTAGAATTCACACCCACCCAGCTCCATCCCCGCAGCTGCAGGCATCCTCCAAAAACATCACCAAGACCCTCTTCCTCCAAGTGAACCCCACCCCCGGGCAGGGCCCCCGGGGACGCAGGTGCGCGCTGCGCCCTGGAAAGTTTCCTGTATGACTGAGAATTCTTATCATGAAAACGTCCCTCCGTTCCTAAGACCCTGTGTAGTGAGTAAAGTCAGTGGTCCGCTGTGTGTAGAACGCAATGCAAACGTCCCATCGTAGTGGAGGGTAAACACCGGCAGGGCACCCGCCCCAAAGGTCCCCGGCCAACCTCGCCCCCCGCCCCGCACCTCCTGCTGCTGCCTCGGGGCCTTTGCCCTCACTGGGCCCGCTGCCGAGCGCCCCAACCTCCAGATCCTCACAGGGCTGGTCCTTCCTCGTCGCTCCCACCTCGGCCCTGAGGCCCCCACCTCGCGCCGACCCTCAGCACCCCCCTTCTGGGCTCAACACAGCTCCGCACCGCGCTGGGCGCACAGTGGGTCCTTGGAAAACAGCCAGCTCAGTGCATGAGATGAGGCGCACAGTTTCACGAGCCCCGTCCACCCGGCCCAGGCACCTCTGGTCACCGCTGTGAGACACCAAAGGCTGGGAAGCCTGATGCTTCATACCCCACAGGGCCCAGGGGTCCCAAGTGCTGCCCAGCCAGCTTCCCAGCCGCCCAGCAGCCGGGCCAGAAGTGTCCCCTCTCCCTGAGCGGTCGGCTGAGGTCGGGGACCAGAGCTGGGTGTGTCCAGAAAGTGGAGCAGAGGGACCCACGCCCTAGAGTGGCCCAATCAGAGCTTTTGCGAGATGGTCTGAGAATGGCTCACTCTCTCTGCGGCTCCAAAAGACGCAAACCTGCTGTAGGAATTCAGGTCCCACAGCAAAACCAGTTTGTCAACGGACCAACACAGGGAATTGGGGGGAAAATACTGCATAGGAATAAAGGTAAGACCAGACCGGACGTCTCCCGAACCCCACCCAGCGGACTTTCAGCTGCAGTTTTTTCTACTGTGTAAGCCCACCTGAACCAGCCCTTCCCCCGTCAGAGCAGAAAGCAGGGACCGCCCCTCCGTCACTCGGGCCGCCTGTCCCCACCACGGGAACGGCCCCCTACACCACAGCCGCACGTGTTCCCTCCACGTGCTCCCCAGGCGGGAGGCGGGAGGCGGGAGGCGGGAGCCCGAGCTCGGCTGGTCGACACAGCCGCTGCCCGCTGGGCCCTGCCGTTTCGGAGGGGCTCCCTGCGACCGCCCAGCTCAGAGCCCACCGCAGTCCTTCCCCTCTGACCGCAAATCCCTCTCCTTCCGCCTGCCGAGCACACAGTGTGTCCTCCAATGACAAGGAACCAGACCGCCCAGCCAACGTTTTGCTTTTTTCCCCGTCCAGGGCGGAAAAGGAGGGATTCTGGGCCCCGCCCTGTGCCCAGGCCTCCGTGGGGCTGCCAAGCCCCAAGACACCTGCTTCCCCAAGGCAACTGCTGTCTTTTCCCATTTCCCACGCTGTCCTTGTCTTTTCCTCGCAACCAGGACACCCGCTGACGAGACAGGATGCCAGGGCGGGGGGCCGAGGGGTGACTTACCCATTGTTTCCGAGCGTGATTCCTCCTCTTGAAGTACAAGATTAACTTTTTCCGCATCGCCTGGTTTCTGCGAGGGAGGACAGCAAGGGAGCGGTCAGTCACGCAGGGCTCAACGCTCAGTCCCTCCTGCCCTGAGGCCTGAGCGCCAGCCCCGGCGCGGCCTGTGGCTGCTTCCCAGTGGGACCAGAGACGCCGCCGCCGCACGAGCCGCCAGCAGCCCAGGGACTCCCTCGCCCCCCAACCCCGCCGAGCCTGCCCGCTGGTCCCCGAGCTGGGGTGGGAAACACACGGGAATGTCTTGAAGTACAAAGCGCTAAAGAGAAAAGGAAAAAAAAGATCAGGACACAGGAACCACTGAGCACGTCCTCACCGCCTGAGCTGGAACGATCTGAGCGGCAAAGTAAACAAACAACACTGGATCGGAACCCAAGGAGTAAAGGAACTACCCGTGCGTCCACGTTGACATAAATGCATGGCTGGCTAAACAAATAAATGCAGAAGGAACAAGGGCTCCTTGCAGAATTCTAATTCAGTCACGGAGGAGGGGGGAAGGCGGCCAAAATCGCCTGGAGACAGCGGTGACGACGGCGGTGACAGCCGCGCGTCGGCCCCCGCAGGAGAGCTCGCTGAGCCGGCACAGCTCCGCGCGGGAACGCGGACGTGCCCAGCGCCGCAGCCCCTCCCCAGCATTTCCCAGTCACCGTGGCGTCCCCAAGTCCGCCGACATCGCCCCTCCAGGAGGCCGAGCCGGGTCCCCTGTCCCATGACGGGCGGCGGAACATTCCGAAGCACGTAGGACAGAAGTGGACGGAGGGGAAACAGGGAGCGCTCAGTGGGTGTCAGGGACCCCGACGGGGTGTGACCGGGAGGGCCCCTCCGTCACCGCTGTGGGACTCTCCCCCAAACCCATAAGCCCGGCTCCTCCCGGAAACTTCAGCCCAACCCAGCCTGAGGGACAGTCTACAAAGGCCCTGACCGGTCAGGGCGAGGCGACCGCGGGAAGGCGGAGGGACGGGCGCAGACCAGAGACCAAGGAGACGGGGACAGAGCAAGAGGTGCGACGTGGATCTGACCCTTGGTCCAGAAAATGGATGTTAGTAGGAAAACTGGGAAAAGCCAAAGACAGTCTGGTTAGAGGACAGCACGGGGTCCCGGTCACCGCACTGGTTTCGAGGAGGGTGCCTAGCATCGGAGACGGCCGTGAAGGGGACAGGAGACATTCTCTGCACTGCGTTCGCCACTCTTCTATAAATGTAGCTCTTTTAAAATAGTTTTTTAAAGAGGAGGGACACGATCTATTTGAAAATGCCACCTTGAGGGTCAAATGTAAGTTCCTCGAGAGCCTGCAGAGGGGGTTGGGGTGTGCAATGGGCTGAAACGTGTCCCCTCCCCAGAGAGATGCTGTGGTCCTGAGCCCCGAGACCTCAGAACGCGACTGTATTTGGAAACCAGGTCTCTGCAGAGATCGTCAGGCTGGAAGGAGGTCTCTCGGGGGCCCCTATCCCATGTGGCTGGTGTCCTCACAAGAAGCGGGCGTCTGGATGTGGGGACAGACACGGGGAAGGGAGGGGGCGTGAGCACAGAGCAAGGCGGCCGTGTGTAGGAGCCTCCCGAGTGCCGGGTGGCACCCCGATTTCCGACTTCAGGCTCCAGAACCGAGAATAAAGTGCTGTTGTTTGCGGCCACCCAGGCCTGTGGCGTCTGCCCCGCAGCCTCGGGCCACTAATCCAGCGCACAACGGCCTTTGACATGCAGAGAAACCACAGCACGAACTGAAGGGGCCGGTGGGGACCACGTCCCACGTGCGCAGGGCGGGCGGCACAGCCGCCCACATCTCCCACCAAGGCGAGCACCGTACCTGGCACCCGGAGGCATCTGCTTGCTGCTGCCCAAGGGGACGAGTGTCCACAGGTGGCAAAATGGGCCCAGCCCGCCCACCAGAGCCAGCGAGGGAGAGCACTGTGTTTGGACTGCGGTGTTTTCTAAAGAATCTGCACTCACTGCCAGCACAGAAAACCAGACGCTGCTGCATAAAAAGCTCAACTTAAAGCTTCTCTGGGAACACCAGGCGGTCTGGCCACGCTCCCTCCTGGCCACAGACTGGGAACTGAGGCCTGAGGCCCTGTCCGAAGGCGACGGCCCGCCCTCCGCTCACCCGAGGCCCCGGCGCTCCCCGCCGCCTCCCCCGGCCCTCGTCCCCGCATTTCCCCAGGCCGGCACGTGGGCCAGCGCCCCCCGGACAGCGGGCTTGGGGTGTCAACTTGTTGGACATCCGTCCCGCATACATTTTTGAGTGTTTATTTGGAACCAAGATGTGTTTTGACAGCGGAGATGCAAACAGCTAACTGCAGACGGATCTCCTCGACGGAGACTGTCCAGCAAAGCTAAGGGGCAGCCTCTCGGGGGCTCCGGGAGGGCGGCCACCCCAGCAGCGCCGGGCGGGGGGTGGCAAGGCAGAGCTCCAGGCTTCCGTAAGACAGCCCAGCCAGCGGGGGCGGGGGGGGGGGAGGCGGGGAGCTCTGGGCCTCGTCCTCTGATCTGCTCTTGTGGGGAGAGACGGGAGCGAGGACAGAGCTGTGAGGAAGCGGAAGCTCCGTGGGTGTTGGAGGAGACCCTGGCCAGGCCCCAGGTGGGACCAGCCCCGGAACTTGCGCTCTGGAAAAGCAAAGCTTGGGGCAATCAGGGTGGGCTTCCTGGAGAAAGGAAGGTGTGCGCCGAGGCCTGGGGAAAGCAGAGGTTCCGGGCTAGGGAGGAGTGAGGAGGGTGAGGCGGAGCGTTCAGGGAGAACCAGACCCCGGCTGCTGGGGAGGGGCCAGGTGGAGGCAGCCGGGGCAGGGCCCTGATGCCCCGGGAGGAGCCTGTCAGACTGGGGTGACCAAAGCACTTTCCCCACGTGAGGCCGATGCTCCCAGGGGACCGCCTTGCTGACAAGCCAAGCGCCGTGACTTGCCAAGGTCACGGGGCTGGAGGGCAGGGCACGGGCCAGGGGCCCCGGGAGGAGACAGGGCCGGGTGCAGACGGGGCCAGCCCGGGCGTCTGGCTGCGCAGCCCTGCGGGAGCCACCTAACACCTCCGAACCCCAGAGCAAGACCACAGCGACCTGCCGACCGTAACCGGGCCCCGAGCGGCCCGCCCATGCCCACATCCCCTGGGCTCGTGGCCCCGTCGGCCCAGCCCCCGCCCAAGGCAGAAGCGGGAAGAAAGGACGGGGAGACAAGGACGGCGGGGCCCCGAGGGCAGAAGCCGCAGGCCTCTCGACCCCGCGGGGATGAGGGGGCCGGGGGGCCTGGGCTCTGTCACCAGGCGAGGGCGCGGCAGGCGTGCCCACAGCAGAAGCCACAGGAGCGTCCCTGGGCACCAACCCACCGAATCACGCGTGGTGCTCACGACGCCAGCACCTTCAGCGGAGAGCCCCCCGGGCAGGTCCCCTCTGCGGCTGGGGGACGCCCCCACCCCCCGGCCCTGGCCCCCGCGCCCCCGGAGGAGTCGCTCCTGAGCCCTGGGGCGAAGGTCCTGCAGCAAGTCCCCACCACGGGGCACAGGCGGCCGGTGGCGGAGGGAGAGCGGCGGAGGTGGTCCAGGTGACGGGCACACGTCCGAAGCTGCCAGTGCAGCAGGAAGTCAAGCGTGAAATTAACTTTAACTCTGCGGCCCCGGCAGGCAGACCCAGAGAAATTAAAGTGACGGGGCAGGTCCGTGGGGAAGGGGCCACCTCCCACCTGGTGGCAGTGACAGCAGCAGGCGGGAAGGGCCCGGGCTGGGGGCGGGGGCGGAGCGCCAGGGTGAGCCCTGCGTCACCCGGCCTGATTCCCCGGCTGCTGCCCCACGCCCCAACTCCGCGGGCGTCTGCGCGACCTGCCCGCGCCACCAGCATGCCAGGCTGCGCCCCGGCCGCCTCCCCGGCCCCGAACGGGCACAGCAGGGGCTCGGGAGGCATCTGTGGGAAGAGTGGGCAGGAGAGAGCGGCCCTGGGCGTCTGCGGACCAAGGAAGGGCACAGGAAGCACAGGACCCGACTCGCTGAGCCCCGCAGCTAGGCGACTGGCGCTTCCCCTCCCACCATGCAGGCGGGACCCCAGGAAATGAGTGCCCGTGAGCGCCCACAGGGGCTAGACGCTCGCGGCCCTAATCCTGTTCCTGCGGGGCCAGCGACTGCCTCAGGAAGCGGCTTCGCCGCCCGCCCCCACAGCGGCCCGGTCCTGACCGCCTCGACCCCCCGGCCCCCCTCGCAGGGTCAGGCTCTACCAGCATCCTGGCCACCACCGCGCGTCTGGCTGGCTGCAGTGACCTCTCCCGAGGTCTCCCCGCCCCCAGGCCTGTCTCCCTGCGGCGACCAGCAGGACCTTTCAAAGACAAAAATCCAGTCATGCCGCTTCCCAGAATAAACCCCGCAACTAGTCCAGCCTCAGCAGATACGTGGACATCATCGGGAGGTGTGCATGCCTCCAGGGACGGGGAGCTCACTACTGCACATATACCCTGCAATTCCACCCCAGGGATGCAGGGGCAATCAGGCGGACTGGGCACGGAGCCTGCTGAACACTGCCGCCCAAAATCACACAAAACAGACTGCGCCCTCTCCCAATGCAGAACCTTGAGCAGTTCAAAGAACATGACCCTGGAGCGCTCCCGGCCAAAAGACCCCAAGCGGCAAGGCCTGCGCCTTGCACCTTCTGGTTCCAGGATAATGACAGAAGGTGAAGCCCCCGCCCCCCGCCAGCCGAGGGCGCTGGGCTCCCATTCGTGCGTCCCATGGAAGAGCCAGCCCCCGCACGGCCAGAGCGGCCACGCCTCACTTCCAGCCTAAAGACACGCAGCCACGGCCCCAGACCTGTCCTGGCACCTCCCTCCGCTGTGCCAGCCTGGCCCACCAAGTGCCCGTGGCACCTCGCTGACATTTTTCTGCCCGCGGCGTCCACTGGGAAGGGCCCCAGCACCGGGACCTTGGCCGCCTCCAGGCCGGGGGGTGCCCCCGCCCTGGGCCATGCCACAGCCCATGGGACGCTCCCCAATACGCCAAGGCTGGATTGCGAGAGCCCAGCCCCCGCGCTTCCCGGGGCCGCCCCGTCACTCCGAGCCCGCGGCGCACCTGCGCATACAGGGCGAGGACCCGCCCTCCTGCCTCGTCTCTCGGGGTCTCTCGGGGCCGTGCACGCAGTGTCCTTGGCCGCCCCCCCGCCCCCGCGCCCCCGCACACTGCCCACACGTACTCACATTTTGATGTTCTCATGATACTGCCTGGTGTCGGAGGGCTGGTTGTACAGCGGCTGCAGAGGGAGAGAGAGGAGGCCGGTGAGGGCCGGGCCCTGCGAGCCCAGCGGCTGCCGCGCCCGAGGCCCCAGCACCCGGGACAGGCTGTCCACTGGTGTGACAATCAGCCCCCGGCGGGCGAAACGGAACATGGGGACCCAGCCTGCGGCCCCGGCCCGGAACAGGCTGTCACTCTCCTCTGGGCACAGCTGTGGTACCGTGACTTCCTGTTACGGCTGCCAGGGCTCCTCTGCAGGGCACTGGGCAGCACTGGCCCGAGCCCCAGGGACCAGCACGCCCATCCCAGCAGAGCTGAGACCAGCAACGGACTCAAGCAGGAAAAACTGCTCCACTTCTCAGTGTGCAAACCACCGTGAGCAGCCACGGCACCCCCTCCGAGCGACACAAGACAGGCTGAGAGATGCCAGGTGCTGGCCAGGGCATGGGGAGACAGGCAGGGTGGCACAGGGCGCCTGCGCAGGTGTGCAGGTAGCGAGCTTCGGAGAGCGGCGAAGAGGCCCGTGTTAAGGAACGACGGCGCGGACGTCCTGCGACCTCCGGCCCCTCCTGCGGAAGGGCCAGGAACACGGGGGCCGCGTGTCCCGCGGGGAGATGGACGTCAGAATGCCCGGACAGCGGCGCTTCTAACAGGGACACCTGTCAGAAGCTGAACACCCGCCATCAGAAGGAAGAATGAGGAAATCAGGACTCTGCTGCAGGAGTACTATAAAGCACTGAAAAAAGAACCGGCCGGGGCCCACGTGCAGAGACAAGCGTGCACGAGGAAAGCAGCAGGCTGTCGCAGGGTCTGCGGGGGCCCAGGGCTCGGCGAGAGGCCGTGCATCCTCTCCGGGCCGGCAGCCCTGTGGCCAGGGACTCGGGGCCCAGCCTGGGTTCAAGGCCTGGTCCTGACACTCCCTGGCCGTGTGTGTCTGGGTGAGTTACTTAAGCCGTCTGTGCCCCTGGATTTCACCTGTAAGCAGAGGTAAGCTCCCAGGGTTTGCTGTGAAGCTGAAATGAGGCAGTGCCTGCAAGCTCTTCGCCCAACGCTCGGCAGGAACGCCCCCGGATCCGCATGAGGACCACCATCGGGGGCGGTGACAGGATGCGCAGCCCCCGTTTTTCCTGCCTGGCGGGGCCAACGGCACAGGCGCAGGCTTAATGAGAGCAGAGGCTGGGAAAGGCGTGTCTGCACCTCTGCCTCCTGTCTAGGCCGCCGGCCCCCGTCACGAGGACAGCCCGGCCTGCAGAGGCAGACCGGCGCCGAGGAGGCCAGCAGGGCCGGCCCAGCCGAGGCTGAGCTAGAGCGGCCGCCGACCGCCCGGCCCGCCACGCATGTGCACGAGCGGAGCCCAGAACGACAGAAACGCCCGGGGGGCTGCCCACCCTCGCGGCAAACAGCAACTGGGGCTGGTCCCAAGCCGCTCGGTTTTGTTACGCAGCACCAGCCAAAGGACTCGAGTCTCCCCGCGTGACAGATGAGAAAACTGCGTCCCTGAGAGGGAAAAGCATTTGCTCCCGGCTGCTAAGTAAGTCCCCCCGAGAATCCCGCCCCTCCCCTGCCTGTCCTCCGCCCTTCCCCCACCCCATCGCTCTCATGGGCCCACACCCGCAGCAGAGACCTCGGGGCCAGTCGCGGGTGACAGTGGCGGAGGAACTGGGCACAGAGTGTGAGGGGTCAAGCCGGACAGGAAGGACGGAGACGCGGAACCCTGAGCCTCAGGCAGGGCCCGGGCTGAGGGAACAGGCACATAGGCCCCGTGGCAGAATTTCCCCCTGGGCACAGAGCAACACATGGCCTGACACCCACAAAGCTCCTGCAAATGCCCGCTGAGGGCGACTGCCCACAAGCTGCACAGCTTGTCCCCAGGGCAGGGTCCGAGGGGGTCTCCCCTAACCCCCTCCGAGCCGTGCTCAGAGGGGGCCGCCCAAGGCCAGGCAGGGCCTCGTCTGTCCTGGGCGGCAAGTCCCAATACGGTGGCCACGGGCGCCCTCGGCCCTCCGGGCCACGGCAGCCGGTGGGGCGCAGCTTTCCCTGCCCCTAGCGATCGGACGGGCCTCACCGCCCCGGGGGACCGAGCGCCTAGAGGGGCCACGCCTCCCGCGGACCTGGAGCGAGGGCTACGGGGCATCAGGGCGGCCCACCCTCCCGGCCGCGCCCCGGGCCCGTGTCTCACTCTCCCCGCGCCTCCGTTTCCTCCTTGAAAAATGGGGGCACAGCCACACAATGAGAGGGCCGACAGAGAGGCATGGGGGGACGGGCATGAGAGTGGACACCGCCCCGGGCAGGGACGGGAGACGCCGCTGTGGCTCGGGAAGGAGAGCCGGGTCTCGCGGACCAGGAGGGGTCCCGTGGGGCCTGGCTTCAGCCGCCGGCGGGGAGGCCGAGCACGCCAGCAACTCCAGGTGGACAGAGCTGCTAAGAAGTGAAGTGTCAGCGCTGGCCCTCCACCCGCGGTGACACCATGTTCTTAAAATAACACCTCTGAACAGGAAGGAAATCAGTGACTCAAAGCCGCGGGGGCGGGGGAGGGGAGCGGCCCGCCCACACCTCCTGCACGGCCTGCCTCTCCCGCCTCCAGGCCAGGCCTGGTCTCCGGTCCAGGGATGGAGGGGCCCCCTCCCACACCATTGCAGTTAGGCCGTCATGCGGGAGGTCACGCGGGAGGTCACCGAGTACACAGCCCTGGCCCCCGCCCCCAAGGCCAAGCGGCCGCTCCCAGGGCTGAGCAACCCTGGCTGCCGCTGGAGACCTGCAGGGAGCTGGATCCCCGACGGTGTGGCCCAGGGACCCCCGAGCCTCCCGGGCTCCGACTCCTGGGGTGCCGCTGTGGTCTGCCTCCCCCTGGAGGACACCTTCAGCCACCTGGGCCTTGCAGTGATTTCCCATAGGCCAGACCTGTGCAGAGCTAGTAGGCTACACCCCCACCCCTTGCTGTGTGACCCTGGGCAAGGCATTGCCCTCTCTGTGCCTCATGCAGAACAGGCACAGTGACACTTCCACGGGGCCTGACACACACCACGGGCCTTGTCCCCGTGAACCTCCTCTGCAGACAACGAAGGCTGCAAGCCCACAGCTACTCCTGCCTTCGGAGCACTCTGGTGGCAGCCACGGCCCCCGGACGCCCCCAGACCGCAGCCCCCATGCCACCAGCCTGGAGCGAGGCTCTGACGTGGGACCCCCAAGCAGGGGATGACCCAGAAAAAAACCGTCCAGACTCTGAGCCCCGCAGGCCCTTGCCCGCCTCCCGGGGACGCTGGCCCTCCCTCGTGGCACTTCTTGGGCCCCGGGCTCAGTGGCCTCCGTTCGCATCCCCCACTCAGGAGGCCCCGGGACTGAGTGGGAGGGGAAAGAGGCGAGGGGGAGCCCCCGGCCTGGGAATGGTTGGGTGCCACCTCTCGCCCTGCCATCCTGCTGGTAAGAAAGGGAAGCTGAGGCAAGAAGCCGCTTAGGCGGGGGACTAGAAAATGGAGCAGCATTTGGAAGACAGCGTGGCAACCCCTCAAGAGGCTGCGCCGAGGGCGCCACGATCCCGTCATTCCAGTCCTGGGCAGACGCCCGCAAGGCAGGCACACACACATCCACGCAGCAAGCTGCAGGCAGACAGCACCGCCGGCGCACGTGAGCAGCCGGGGGCCCAAGCGGGCCGACGCCCGCCATGGGGCGAAGGGCGAACTGGAGGTGGTCTCCCCAGCCGAAGAAATACGACTCCATGACAAAGAGCAGTGGTGCTCTGACACCTGCTACGGCGTGGAAGGCCCTCAATTACGTGACACTGCGTGAAAGATGCCAGACACAGAGGCTACAGAGTGTGTGGTTCCGTTGACAGGCCGCCTCCACAACACACACGCCCACAGACACAGAGCGCAGGTCAGAGGCTGGCGGGTGGGGGGCGGGGGAGACGGAGAGATGGGGAGATACAGAGGGGACAGTGAGGGGCACAGAGTTCTTTGTGAGATGGAGAAAGTTCTGAAATGACTGTGGAGATGGGCGCCCATGTCTGCGAACGGGATAAAATTACTGGATTGTACACTTTCAATGGGGGAACTGTACGGCGTGTGACTTACATCTTAGCAAAGCTTCTTTAAAAAGAGAAAAAAAAGAGGCTGCTAGAGACAGCCCGGAGATCGCGGCCCAGGCTGGGCGCCCAAGGCCCAGTGTCCGCAGCCGACAGAGCCCAGGCCGGGGGCAAACGCACCCCACCCGTCTCCCTGGCAGCCGGGGGCTTGCTAAAGGCCGCGGCCTTGCCCTGCACCCCAGGTCATTTCCCTGAACCTCAGAAAGATCCTGACTCGCCATTTCCCAGATGAGGCGGCGAGGCCCTTTCCCGAGGCCGCCCAGCAAACACATGGAAGAGCTGAGTTTAAAATGAGGCTCCGAAAGGGTAAGACTTTATGTCCGCGTCCCCCGCACCCCGCCAGGGAGCACGCCTGCGCCCACCCCGGCGCCCACCCTGGCGCCCCCGAGGACGTGGGGGCTGCCCCATCCGTCCGGCCTGTGCGCGCGGGCCGGCAGCGCCTCCACGCGCCGCCCCACGGCTCTGCACCGACCGTGGGCGTCTTCCCGTCCGGACGCGGACACAGACCACCCCTGGCGCTCACGCTGTGTCCAGGGCTCTATCAACAGCAACTGCCCATCACCACGCCCGCCCGGGGGGTCCGTGTGGCTGCGATTCTCACGTTACAGGGGAGGAGAGGGAGGCACAGAGAGGCCGTGCAGGGTCACACAGCTTCGGGGGGGCAGGCCTGGGCGCTGAACTCCGATCGTCTGGCCGAGAGCATGGGCTTCCGCACGCTAAGCTGGGCCGAACGGGCTGGGCTCCGACGTGTCTACCTCCTGGCAGCCTGGGCGCCGGCGGGCGCGGGAGTCCAGCAGGAGCACCCAGGCTCTGCCGCCGCCAGCCCCGGCGGCCCAGCCCACCCACCGGCTATCTGCCAGGCCCTCTTATCAAAGGGTGCATTTCCTGCCTCCTCCGCGGACAGGGCAGTGCGGGGCAATACAGGGCTTCCTCCCCCACCCCACCCCCACCCGCCGCCCACCCACGTCCCCAGCTGCCCCCTCCCAGAGCTCCCACCCTGTCCCCTGGCTCACCAGCTCCACCTGGGGCCCCAGGCCTTCCAGAATCCGGTGTGCAGCTTCAGCCTTCTTCTGCAGGATGACGGAGAAGAGGAGGAATTAAACACACACACACACACACACACACACACACACACACAGGGAACAGGTTATAAATAGAGGCCTCCGGGAACGGCAGGCAGCTGCCCAACCCAGCACGCCCATCCACAGCCCAGGCGGCAGGGGAGGCCAGGCCCCCCCGCACGCCCCCTCCCGGCCAGTAACACACTCACACACGGGGTCCCACACGACCCCCCGCAGCACCCCGCCAGGCTCGCCAAGTTTCGATTCTAACAAATGCACCGTGTTCTCGGGCGATGCCCCCCAGCGCCTGGGCCTGCCGCCCCGGCCGTGGTGTGGGCCCCGCTCCACGCCAGCAGCCAGCTGCACTGCCGGCCGAGGTGCCTTCCCGCGCCGTGGAGGCCGGCGGGATGTCTGCTGTTACCTCGGAGCTGGTGCTGCCAGCCGTTGGGGGGGGGGGGGGGGGGGGGGGCGACAGAGACGCTCAGAGATCAGAGATACCCTTTCTAGGATTCTTGTATTTCACAATCATGTGACTGTTTCTGAGCTGCCCCGGGGCCTCCCCGCCTCCCTCCTCTCTCACAACCCAGGACTTATTAGGAAAACAGGGACATGCGGCAGAAAGGCCTCGGTGGCCGCAAATTCAACAGGCTGGACCTCTGGGCCCGGCTGTGAAGGTGGACATTGTGGCTCCGCCAGGCCCGCCGACCCCGCCTGGGACCACCAGGGGCTGCTCGGGGAGGCCCGGGGGCGGCCAGGCCAGCTGGGGCAGGGGTGGGTGGGGGCGGGGGAAGGGGCTTAGCAGGGGCTTCGCGGGACCTGGGCCACGGCGTGCGGTGGCAAGCGGGGCACCCACAGCGTGCATCTGGGGGACCTCAGCCCCTCCCGTGACCCAGGAAAGACTGGAGACTCCAGACCGAGCCAAACATTCAGTGCTTGCCCTGGGCCGGGGGACCAGGCCAAGTCAGTCCCCATCATCCGATCAAACCGTCCCCCCAGGGAGCCCCAAATCCAGGCCCACGGCAGGGGGCGACCCGGGACCGTGGGGGACGCGGCCGACAACGAGCTCCAGGCCCAGGCCCCCGCGCCACGCGGTGTGGGGGGCGCCGAGGGCCAGTCCCGCTCCTCTCTGCAGCCGCCCGGCCCCACGGGGCTGGTGGGTCGACGGGCTCAAGCCCTCCCCAGCCAGAGCCACGTTCTCGGCGCCCGCACGCCGAGCCCGCGCCCCGGGACCAGCAGGCTCCAAGCGCGGCCGGGGCCATGGACCCAGGGCAGGCCAGGCTGACGACGACCAGCACGTTACAGGGCGCCCCGTGGGCCAGCATGGAGCACACCGCCCGCGTCCACCCCGAGTCCCGCGCCCACACAACGCGAGGCCCGTAGGAGGCGCAGCCCCGCTCTGCCGGTGGTGAGGCTGCGGCCCCACAGGGCGCCGTGAGCAGGAAGCCCTTCTGATCTCCAGGTCGCAGGGCGGGGAGAGGACAAGGAGGGGGTCCCCCCCAGGGAAGGGGCATCCTCCGGGCAGCGGGGCAGAGGCCCCCTCCGCCCTGGCCGCAGGGGAAGGGTCAGCCGTGGGTGCTGACGATGGAAGAAGCCGGAGCCAGGCCCAGGGAAGGACTGGGACGGGGCGGGTAGGGGACCAGCCCGCAAACCCTTCCTGGGCGCCCGCTCTCTGTTAAGGGCCAGGGCAGGGCAGTGGGGGACCTGGGGCCGCCTGCAGCGAGCCCCGCCTCCTGGCAGCACGGGAGGCTGGCGTGCTCAGGACAGACAGGTACGTGCACGCGCTGGGGGCAGGCTTCACGCAGGATGCACGGGCCCCCTCGGGAGAAGGGACAGGAGGGACCCCTGGGCTGGGTTGGGGGAGGACTAGAAGGCGCGTGCCTTCCAGAGGCTCTGCGGGGCTCAGCGGCAGGTGGACACGGGCGGGCAGGTCGCTGGAAACTGGCACAGTGGCAGCGGGGCCCGGGTCCTGTGGCAAGGGCTCCGGACCCCTGTGTCCTGGGAGGTGCAGGGACTCCGCCCTCCGTCACATCCTCGCTGTCTCAGGGACACGGGCACCGGGGTGGGGGTAGGGGGGTGGCGGGGGCGTCCCCGCGGCCCCGGGAGAACACAGCAGGGAGGAGCCGCCTCCTGACCAGCCGCAGCCGTGGGCGCCCGGACACCTCCCTGTCACACACCTGCTGTGACGGCTTCTTGGCTCCCTAACAGGCCCCCCACAAGCTGTGAGCCACCCCGAGGCCTTTTGAGAAGTAACGCGATTTCCAAAAGGCGGCACACGTACCCCGTCCCTGGGAGGGCGGCCCTAAGGACGCTGTGGCGCTGGGAAGGCGGGGTGCACGGCAGCCAAGAGCAAGGGTCCAGGGCCAGCGGCCTGGGTCCTAGCCCACCTGCCACCTTGTGGCTGTGGGCATGTCCCTCCCCCCCAGCCTCAGCTTCCTCATCTGGAAAATGGGGTGCCAGCAGCACGCCCCCACGGCCACTACGCAAACTGAAGTTGCTGACCCACGTAGGGCTCCAAAACTGGGACCCGGCACACAGTAGGTGATGCCACGTGTGCGCCGGCCGTTGCTGTTACTGCTGCGAACAGGAACGACGAGGCTCACGCCAGGCGACCTCTGCACGTGCCGGCCCCGGGCCGGTGCGCGGGGGTGGGTTCCTCCAAGGGCCCCTGTGGAAGGTTCACGCACCAGCCCCGTGTCCAGGCACAAAGCCGAGGCTCCGTGGGACAGCTGAGAAGCCGGGCCCCGCGGCCCTGGACGCGCACCCTCCCCTCTGCCGGTCTCCCCGCGGCACTCCCTCCCCGCCCGCCGTGCGCCCCTGCGGGGTGAGGACGTCCTGCCTACCGGCCCCTCCCCCGGGCGGGCAGGGCTCCCTGGCACCTCCGTCCCTCAGGGGCCGGACTCTGGAGTCGGCTGTGCTCCTGTCCCCAGCGAGTCGCCTCGCCATCTGCGCCTAAGTCTCCCCATCCGCTAAACGGGCAGGCACCGTGCTCCCAGGGCTCCGGCACGGGCGCCCCACGAGGAACGAGCGGCGTGCACGTCGTCCCTTCTCTCCGGCGCCCCCTTCAGAGGGAGGAGAGACGGGGCCCTGGCAGGGGGAGGCCGGGCACATAAGGTGCCTGAGCCGGAGACGCCCTCTGAGCCCTCGGCTGACAGCCTCTCGCCCCGAGAACCGGGGCCCAGCAACTCGCCAGGGTCCACAGGCCGCTCAGCACGCGGCCGGGAGAGCCATCGCCCGGGCGCGCTGCTCCGTCCCCGGGTGACAGGCCCAGGGTCTGAGCCACAGGGACCCCCACCGGGCGCCAGGGGACGCAGGCCTCCCACCGGGGCCCCCCAGGGTCCGTGTGGCCTGGCCTCCTGGCAGCCGCACTTGGGGCACAAAGACCTCGGTCACCTGCAGAGAGGGACACAGGAGCCCGGGGACCCAATGCCCAAACCTGTGCCCACACCAATAAAGGCACAAACACACGCATGTGTGCATGCCACACACACAACCCGCACTCACGTTGCTTTCACCCACACACATCTGCACAGGGCATACAGAGCGCACGCATGTGCCCAAGTTAACCCGTGCGTAAGCACGAGGTACAGACACAACCACACATATGGCCTCCTCATGCCAACCTGCACACACATGCAGACTCGCATGCGTTTACACACGTCATAGGGCTCACAGGCTCTCACACAAATGTACATGTGTGCAAATGCATGCACAGCCACGGGTGTGCCCCACATGTGCTGGCACACACACGAGTGCACACGGTCATCCATAGGCCCACTCGGACACCCGGGCACACACCTGTGCACAGGTAAGCCCTGTACTGAAGCCATCCTGCTCCCGCTTTGGCAGACCAGCTCCAGTCCCGCCTCTTCCAGGAAGTCTGCCTCGGTTGCCCATTGCCCTGAATTCCTGCAGCATCAGCACCAAGCAAACTATCCCTTATTCCTACATCCTCCACTGGGGCTTCATGTATTTGCTTTATCCAGACCCAGAGCCGAGCATCTTCCCAAGCCTCCACCTCCTGCCCCCACACACTGCCTGTGAAGATCAAACAAGACCCCTGTCCCCTCGCTGGGCCTTGGCCTGGGCTGTGACCCTCCACCCGGATGCCCTCCCGGGGCCCACGGCCCACCCACTGCTTCCAGGAGGCCCTCCCGCCCCCGCCCGGCCTGCCCCTCGGCCTCCCGCCCCTCCATCTGCGTGCACCTGCCCTGCCTGCCCGTGCACGCAGCTCCTGGGAGGCAGGGAGAGCCTGGCTCAGTCGCCCCCCACCGCCCTCCCGCGGGCGGGCGCCTTGCTCACGCGCCCCGAATGGATAATGAGCCGGAGTCCAACAGGCAGCAAAGCCGGGCGGCCCTGCCTGGCAGGGAGGCTTCGTTTTCCAGCCAGTGCGGCGGGCGTTGAGAGACAGGCCCTACTGGCCGCCTCTCAGAGGCACCGGCGGGAGGAAGGAGGATTAAAATTTAATCCCATTGATCCCCAAGGGGAGGGGTGGTGAGTCCTGGCTGCTCCTGCCAAAGGCAGCCAGGGGCCTCTGCCCACCCAGCCTCCTGCCCTGGGGGCTCTGCCCAGGCAGATGGACGCCCCCCCCCGCCGATCTCCACTGGGAATAGGGGCCAGCCCCCAAAACCAGAGGACTGCTGCCGGGGGAGTCCCCCCTCCCCTCAGCCCTCCTTCACGTGTTCAGAAAACATTCCCTGAGCACCCACAACGAGCCAGGCACTGTCCTGGGTGCTGGGGGCCTAGCCGAGGGGGATGAGACAGGGACCCCTTGTCCTCAGGGAGCTTCCGTTCACGATAAGCAGAACAAACACAAAACGTGAATCACGCCCCGTAGGAACAGGGGTGAAGCAGGGAATGAAAGCCAGAAAGAGGACAAATGGGGTTGAGGGGTCTGCAGGAGGAAGCACAAGGTCAAAAGGGGCCGTGCTGAAGGAGCGGGCGCGGGACCCGGCGGGGAAGGGGCTGCAGCCGACGGCCCCGCCAGGGCACAGGCCCCGGGGCCGCACGCCTGCGCGGTCACAGGAACACCGAGGCCCGCGAGGCCGGGCAGGGAGAGGGTAAGGGAATGAAAGGACGGGGCGGGGGGATGGGGCCAGGAGGAGCCCCCTGCCTCGGACCAATGGTGTGCCCACAGGCGGGGACTGGAGGGTGTGGGTCTGTCCTCCCCACCAGGAGGCAGGGGAGACTCGGGCTGGGGCTGTGTCCCCAGGGCCTAGGAGAACAGCAGGCGCAGAGCGGGCACCCACACGTGGCTGCTGAACAAACGAGTGGGTGGAATGGATGGATGTGCGCGGCGTGCCCAGCGCAGCCGAACGAGGCTGGCGACACAGCCAGCCCTCCCGTGGGGCCAGGCACCGCTCCGGGCGCCGCGTCGGCGCGCCGCATCTCCGCGCCGCGGGAAGGAGGGCGGGGCTGTCGTCACCCTCATTTGGCAGGTGAGGACCACCAGTCAGGGATAACCTAAGCTACGTGCCCAAGCACACGGAGCCAGGAAGTGGTAGAAGCGGGACTGAACCCGGATGTCCGGCTGAAGCACACGCGGCCCCATTGCTCCCCCACGCTTACGATTATTGTGTGCTGCTTGGGGTGTGGGGTTGGGTGACCAGCCCCACAAAGCCCAGCACACAGCTCCCAGGCCCCAGTAGGCTGTCTCGTCCTGCATGTACTGCTGCTTCGAGAGGCGGAGGCGTAGCAAACTAGCTGGTCCGACAGTCTCCTGCCTGGAGTGAGAGCCCCAGGCACCTGTCGCGCCCTCCCAGGCTCCGGTGCAGCGACCCAGCCCCTGTCTGAACCCTGAGCGCTCCGCCTGCAGCCAAGCGCATATCGCACAGCAGAGTCAGCTGGGGAGGGCAGTCGGGAGCTCCGGGCATGAGGGGGACCCGGGAGGCCAAGGCAGGGAAGAGGGGACCCCGTCAGCCACACTTCACCATGTGCCCTCAGACGAGGACAGTCCCTCTCTGGGGCTCCGTTACCTTCCTCATCCATGGCACAGGCAGGGACCTCCACCCCCACAGGCCCGAAGCACCTCTGTGAAGAGCCAAGTGTACATCACTGAAGCTGAGCTCACGGTGGCTGGACAGACAGGGCGGGTGGCAGGCGCGCGCCACCTCTCCAGGTGGGCACCAGGCTCCCCTCCCGGGACACTCAGGGCCGTGGGCATCAGCCCCTGGAGACACCCTGCTCCGGGTGCCCTGCGCTCCTGCCCAAGACCGAGCCGCTGCAGGCGCCCGGCAGCTGCCCTCCAGGGACCCCCCGGAGCCCCCACAGCTATAGACCCCGTGCCCCACCATCCCAAAGGCCCCGCCCAGGGCAAGATGCCAGGAGAGGCCAGTGCTGACAGATCAGGGCCGGCGACCCGACGGACCACGGGTCCAAATACCGAGCCCACCATGTCCGAGCTGCGGGACTTCGAACGAGTCACCTAGCCCCTCCGGGCCTCAGTTCCTCCACGTGTTCAGGGGAAGCAATGCGGGCACCAACCCTCCTAGGACCATGAGGCAAAAAGCCTGGCCCGTCGCCGGAAAAGGAGGAGCTGTTCAGGTCACGTCTGCTGTTATTGTTAATAACAATAACATGACGACTGTCCTCCGCGTTCCGGGCATGTCTTCCACCTGGGCGCCCAAGCGGCCGCTGCCCTTCACAGATCAGCTGGCCCCTGCCACTCCCCTATGACCTCACGCCTACGTGTTCACGCTCACACTGCGCCCCACAGGCCGGCCGTGGTTCATGCAAGTGCCCTGTCTGGGCAGAACAAGACGGGTCTCCGCTGGCCAGCCTTCCCCTCCCACTCACGCACCCAGCTCTGCGTGTGTGTGCAGGGCGTCACGGGGCCCCCTGCTGCAGGTGGGCACACAGGCGCCGGGAGAGAGCCAGACCTCCAAGGCAACCCTGGCAGCCAGCCCAGAGCGAGCAAGGGAAGGGGGGGCGCGCGGCACCTACCCGGTTCTCGTCGTAGATGATCTGCACCAGGCTGCGGTGCTTCGACTCGATGGGCGGCGGCGACACGGGCTTCTCGGGCTCGGGCGGCTTGGCGGCCTCCTCCTCCAGCTGTTGCTGTGGGAAGGAGAGCGTGGCGGTGAGCGCGCCGGCGGGCGGAAGGAGGGGCGCAGCACCCCACAGCGGAGGGGCGGCCCCGCGCACACGGGGCGGGTGGCCGCGCACAGGAAGTCAGGCTGCTAACCATTTCCTCTGAGTCACCCGCGGGGACTCCGAGCCCTGCAGAGGCCCCAGCTCCCCCCTGCGGGGAAGGGCCCAGCACGGGGCCGGCTCCAGTCTCAGGCTCTGCAGGACAGAGCAGCAAGGGGGGCGTGAGCACGCAGCTGAGCCCCGCTGCGCCTCAGTTTCTCCTTCCGTGAACTGGGGCTTCTCACTGTGCCGCCCCGACGGAGCCGCGGGAGGAAAGGATAAGATGGTGCCCGTGTGGCCCAGGTGGCAGCTCGCTGAGAGCCAGCTGTCACTGTCTGTCCTCGGCACCAGGACCGCCATCCTCAGGAGAGTCTGTGCAGACTCTGGAGCGCGGCTGCCCAGGCGGGGACCCCAGTCTGACCACGTTCTTGCTGTGGGGACTTCTCTGCGCCTTGCTCTCCGCATCTGCAGAGCAGGGGTAGTTCAACGCTCTACCTTAGAGCGGGCGAAGCATCCTGCGCTCCGTAAGCAGTTTTTCGTCATCACCCCGATCACTGCCACCTGCCCCATGGTGTCCGTACTGGGCACCCCCCTGCAAACACCGTACTGGGCTCCCCCTGCAAACACCGTAAAGCTCTTCCCTTCCTGCTGCTATTTTGCACCAAAAAGGAAAGACCGGAGAGCTTACGGCGCCGGCCCCAGGTCCCACGGGAGGTCGACACAGAGGTGTGCCATCTGACAGGGCCTCTCCGGGGAGAGGAGATCGCTGCTCTCTGCTCGCAGTGCTCACACAGCCGGCCCGGGACCGTGGAGACAACCGCTGCGAACCCAGAAAGGCGGCCGAGAGAGCACTGCAGAAAGAACCAGAAAGCCCAGTTCCGGCTCCTGGAGGCCCAAGGGCCTGGTAGGTGGAGCCCAGCTGCCTCCACCCCACAGCCACCCCAGGCGGTGGCTTCCAGAAGGGCAGTGTGTATCTGGCAAAGCTTCAAAATCCCTCCAAAAAGGTGTAAAGCAAATGAAGCCAAGAAAGGGAGGAAGTGCACAGCCAGAGCAGGTGGGCAGAGACTGTCTCCTCTCAGTGATGGTGGCACCGAGGAGAGATGCCACAGAGACCCTGCTAGGAAGGCAGCGGAGAATGTGGCCAGGTCGCAGTTCAAACCTCCAATCTACGGCTCGCCAGCTCCGTGGCCTCGGGCGAGCCCCTCCACCTCTCCGACTCCGTCAGCCGCGGAGGGAGCAGGAGCGGCAGTGCTGACCTCATAAGGCCGTCCCAAGGGTCAAAGGACGTGACGCACAGAAAGTACTGCCGGGCAGCTTGAGAAGAACTGGCTACCGGGTGCAAACAAAGCCACGACAGGTTACCGCTCCCCACCCACAGCGTGGTTACCAAGGGCGAGGACGTGGAATAACTGGGACCCTTGCGCACTGCTGACGGGAATGTGACATGGAGCGGCTGCTGCGGACAACAGTCCAGGGTTCCCTGAGAGGTCAAACACCGAGTGGCCCAGCAATATGTCCCCCGGGGGCATACGTGAAAGAATTTTAAAAGCAGGTGCTCAAACCAACCGTGACCACAGATGCGCATGGGAGCTCTATTCACAGTGGCCAAAAGGTAGAAAATCTCGAGTGTGCGTCAGTCGATGAACGATGCACGAATGTGGCCGTGCCCCCCGTGGAATATTACTCAGCCATGAAAAAGACCGGAGCTCTGACACCTGCTACAGCGTGGACGAACCATGAGAACACGATTCTGCGTGAGAGACGCCAGACACAGAGGGTCACGCAGTGTAGGATTCCACATACAGGAAATGTCCGAAGGCAAATCCACAGAGACAGAGAGTCGGCCAGCGGCCGGAGGGAGGGGGAGCGGGCAGGGGCTGCTGACCGGACCGGGGCCTCCTTTCAGGGCAACGGGAATGTCCTGGAACTAGACAGAAGCGGTGGCAGGACAACACTGAGTGTGCGACCTGCCGCTGACTTGTTCCTGCTAACGTGGGTGATTTACGTTCCATGAATTTTAGACCAAAAAAAAGCCAAAGTGGAATATTTTAAAAATCTCCCTACCGAGGGCTGTGCTGAGCCACCTCGCTTACGGCCACAGTCACGGGCACGTGCAGGCGACCTGGAGCAACAGCCTCTCCCCAACACCAGGCCCCGAGGGACTAGAGGCAGCCTTGGCAACGCCTGCTGGAGACCGGCCCGGGCCCGGCCCCTCTCTGGACGCCTGACCCAGCACCTTGGAAACCTACGCTTCGTCCCCAAGGTCCAGGACAGCTGGCCAGAGCTCCCTGACCGGCCCAGCTGCCGGCCACCCCCAAGCCCCACTCCTCTACGCCAGCAACAGCCGTACGTCCTTCAAAACCCACTCACAGGCCCCTGGACGCCTGCACGGGGCCTTCGCCCATCAGCCTCACGCCACTGCTGCCCGTGGCGGCTGCGTGGGCCCTCGACCCAGCGGGAGCCTACACTCCTTACCTGGAGTTGGCCAGGTGGGGCCCCGTCCCCAGGCTCAACCCCAGTGCGCCCACGTGAAGACGGACTAGCAACAGGCCTTCGTGAGCACCTACTACGCTCCGGCACTGCCGGGAGCACAGCAGTGAGCGGGCAGACAAGGGCCTGCTGCTCCGTCGTGAGGAGAAGCTCATGACAAGCAGAGCGTGTAATAAACAATTCGCACAGCGGTGACATCAGCGAGGTGACAGGACGGGGGGGTGGGGGAGCAAACGTTTCCTGTAAAGGCCCGGAGAGTAAATATTTTCAGCTTTGCTGGCTACGGGGTCTCCGATGCAGCCACTCAGCTGTGATGTCATGTTAGGAAAGCTGCTGCAAACGTGGCGTCAACAAACGAACGGGGCTGTGTGCCAATAAAACTTTATCGACAAATCAGGCACGGAGCCCGACTGGGCCCGGTGTGCGGGGCCCTGGGAGGGAGGCGGGCTGACGTGAGGACTCCCGTAAAGGGCGGGAAGGGGGGGGCCGCCTGTGGCGGGGACGGCTGAGCAGAGACCCGAAGCGGCCAAGGCGGGTCACACGTAAAGATCTGGGCAAAGGCGGAGTGTAAGGTAATTTTATATCAATATTAAAAATGAAATCATAGAATCAGCATTACAAATACTTATATTAACTTTGGTTTCCACAGTCACAATGAAGATTCATTTCCAGGGCATAACCTGCTCCCCCTCACAACCTACAGGGGGTGTCGTGTCTGTGCCCATCTTACAGACAAGGAAACTGAGGCAGAGGCCGGAGGCCCAGCCCATTCAGACTCCAGGGCCAGGGCCAGAGTCCGGGGGTACGTCCCCCACGGCGCGGGCGAGGAAGGTGAAGCAGAGAGGGATGGGCAGAGATGGCGTCGGAGCCTGGCCGCTCGCCCACCACTCCCAAGACACCCGGCACTGAGGCCACGCGGCTCTTCAGGTATAAATTTCACTTAAAGTTCAACTACGTCAATAGTTCAGTTCCTCAGCCACACAAAGCACGTGTCAAGGGATCGACAGGCACACGCAGCTGGCGGCACCGCTTTGGACGGCACAGACCTAGAAGCTTCCTTGACGGCAAAGGTCCTATTCGCCGGCACAGCACCACACGAGACGGCACCCTTGTCCAATAGACGTCGAGGACAGAAAGAGGGGCTGGAAACTCAGCGCAGCCGCTGCGCCCCACCCTCTGACGGGCCCCGCCCGCTGCTGCCCTCACCTGCTTCTTCTTCAGCTTGGAGATCTGCTGCTCCACCATGGTGATCTCGCGGTCCACGCGGTCCATGCTTTGGATCAGCTCCTCCTTGGACAGCCGTGGGGGCACCAGCTCCAGCTCGGGGTCGGCGTGCGGGGGGCTGGGCGGGGACACCGGCTCCAGTTTGCCCGCCAGGCTGCGGTCCTGTGAGAGAAAACGGCCCAGGGTCAGCACGGGGCACCCCGTACACACACGTTCGCCTTTGCTGGCCCCTGGGCTCTGCTGTGACCGCTCAACTCCAATGTTGTGTTAGGGAAGCTGCCGCAGACCACGTGGCAACAAACAGACGTGGCCGTGTGTCAATAAAACTTTATTTACAAAAGCCGGCACCCCATGTTCCCAGGCTGGACTACAAACCCCAGCATGCCAGATATCTGCCACAACGGCCCACGTCCCAGCCGCGTCCCGAGGCTGCTTCCCAGCGCCACCGCCCCGCCTCTGCCCCGCTGACCCAGTGCCAGCCAGGTACACGCCCTTCTGGGCACGTCGCCCACTCGGCAAAGGTCAGAGCCGCTCCACCTCCTGCCCGACCTCCCCACCAGCCGTGACGCCCTCCCTCGCCCCTCTCCCCCAGCACGCCTCCCTCTCACACTGACCCCGGGCGAGTCCTCCCACTCAACCACACTCCACAAACACAGGCCCGAGGCCTGGTCCCCGCTGACGCTCCGTGAACTGTGCTTCACGACGCCAGTCCGAACCAGCAAGTCACTGAACACCGCACACAGCGCACACGTGGTTCTGCAAAAAACACACGCGCGCACACGTGCGCACACACGCGCACAGGAAACTTACGAGAACGCAACGCACAGACGCAAAGGGGCGCGCTCGGGGCAGGGGGCAAGGGGGGCAATTCCACCGTTATCTTTGTATTTACCAGTATTTCCCTGCTTGCTCTTCCCTGAGTGTTACCCTTGGTGCAGTAAAGCTGTTTTTAAAAATGTATTAAACAAACAAGGGAACCCTCTGTGGGGTGATTCACTGACTCCATCCCACCAACTGACGTTCACTGGTGCTCGCCTTCAAGGCCCTGAGTTCCAATCCCCATCCCCTCTGTCATCCCCCAGCTCCGGGACCTCAAGCAGGTCACGCACTAACCCCCTGCCTCAGTTTCCCTATCTGCTCTGTGGGACGGCTCCCCCCTCCCAGCCTGCTGTGAGGCTGGAATGCGTTGGTACGCACGGAGCGCTCGGCTCAGCGCCGGGCATACTCCCTGTCAATGCTCCGCGAGCGCGGGCCAGACCGCCCCACCCCCAGCCCCCGTGCAGGCCTGGAGGCGCAGGTGGGCCCAGCCCCCGCCCCCCACCCCGTGCCATCCTCAAGGCCAAGCCAGCAGCTGCTGGCAGGGGAGGCCCGGGAGGCGATTCAGGCTGCTGCCTCCCCGCCCCCACGGCAGCTGCACCAGAGGACAGAGGACACATTATTCCCTGGGACAACTGCGCCCTGGGGGCTGCAACCCCCCTCCCCGCAGGACGCAGGGACCGCGGGCACCTGGCCCCCTCCCACACCAAACCAGAGGCCGCTCCTGTGCTCTGGCACCTCAGCGCCTTTGCACAAGCCGTCCCCTTGCCCTGCCCGCCGCGCCCGACTCCGACGCCGCAGCTCCCTGCCGGCTGGGATCAGACCCACCCTCCCTCCGCGGCCCCAACCCCCAACGGGACCCGCCCCGCCCCTCCGCACCGCCGGGGACGGTGGGGGTCTCCCTGGCAGCCTCGCTCCTGGCTCCGGGTCCTCGGGGTGAGCGGTGGGCAGCGACACAGTTCCTGGAGCCCAGCAGCACCAGCTGCCAGGGACAAGGTCTCCCCTCTCCCCTCGCCCCCCACGAGGCCCAGGAAGGGTGGTAACGGAACACAAGGGAGCGCTGCGGACAGAAAGGCTTCAGGGGCAGGAGACCCGGAACTGCGAGCCCAACCTGGGAATAATCCTCAACATTGGCAAAGGGAAGATTTCTGTCCCCAAAGCCAGCAGCGCGTTGGAGGAAGCAGCTGGCCACCGCCAGGAACAGCTGGAAGAAGGGACGGAAGCTTCCCTGTAAATTCAGGGGGCTGCAGGCTGTCTCCCTCCATGGGCACTTCTCCCGTAAGGTTCAGTCCAGCTCCGCTTTCCTTCCCACCCAGGATGCACCAGCGGGCCCTTCCGTGGCTGCGTGGAGACGTCAAGTGTGGTCTATCCACAAAACACAACGAGCCAAACAACAGCAGCAACGCTGACGAGAAACACCACCACAAGCGCAGCAGACACCTGCTACGACACGGGCGAGCCTTGAGAACGCGACGCTGCGTGAGCGATGCCAGACCCAGAGGTCACGTATCGTCTGACTCCATTGACAGGGAACAGCCAGAACAGGCAGATCCATAGGGACGGAAAGCAGGCTGGCGGGTGCCCGAGGCTGGGGGGGGCGGGGCGACTGCCAGTGGGCATGGAGTTTCTTTTCGGGGCGATGAAAACGTTCTGGAACCAGACAGGGCGGCGGCTGCACAACCCTGGGAATGTACTAAAGGCCGCGGAACCGTGCGCGGTGCACTCTACGTGGCGAGCTTCGCCTAGCACGGCCAGCCCCACGCGGGTGAGCGTGCCCGGGAGGGCACGCAATGCCGTCTCCTCTGCGGTGCCGCGTTTCCCAGGAATGGGGCCTCCGGATGGCCCGGAGGGCGGCGGCTGCCTTCACTTCAGCCCCAAGCCGCAGAGGGGAAACAGCACGCGGTGCCCCGCCCGCCGCCAGGGAGCCGCAGGCACCACTGACCCCATCAGAGGCCCTCGGCGAGCAATGCAGGCCGACCCAGGAGGGGGAGTTCACGGTGCAGAACTGAAGACACAGGCAGACAGAGCCTTGGGCTGGAGCGGCGTCCCGCCCCCCGCCCGCCAGGGCACCTCCACCCAGGGCCGGGGCCGGGGCCGGGGCAGGGGCAGGGCCGTGCCGGGCACTCGGCCGCCCCCGCCACGACCCTGGCTTCCAGCTCAGGCAGGGGCCGGCTGCCCAAAGGCGAGAGGAACAACAGCTCTGGGCCTGCAACGCAGCCTGGAACGTGGGAAGAGGAAGGCCTAGCGTGTCGAACACACCGGGACCTCAGGGAAGGCGGCCAAACCGAGAGGTACACGGGGCCAGGCACCTGAGAGAGCGTCACGTTGCCTGGACTCAGCCGTGCCTGGAGTCAGCATGGCACGGGGTTTCTGCCCCTTGCGGCTGGCAGAGCCCAGCAGACAAAGAGACCTTCACAGACGGTCCTGTTTATGATGATTCCGAAGCCCCCAAAATTTGGTGAATTCCAAAGGAAACTCCCCCACCGCAGGGTTCCAGGGGCCCAAGCGCAGGGACGCATTAGGAAACAACATCTTCACAAGAGAAAGAAACGAGGCTGGGGCCGGCGGCGGGGGGCGGTAATAAAATACCCCATCACGTTCCTGTCTCCAGCGTCAGCGGAATTCCACACAGCAGACGCAAACACATCTGACCACGCTCAGGGCTGTCTCCCTGGCGTCGGTCCTCGCTCGCCCGCGCCGGGCCGAGGCTTTCCAAACGCGCGCAACAGCCTAGAGCCGTTACAGCGGCTGGTCCGGCCAGGCCCCGACACCGCGCCCATCCCCCCGCCCCAGGGTCCAGGGAAAGAGGAGAGGCAGGCAGAGTCAGGGGGACACAGACGTAACACATCACCAGGCAAAAGCAGAGAGAGACATGCACACACACAGAGAAACAGACGGAGGCAGGCAGACAGACAGACAGAGACAGAGAGGGAGTCCCCCAGGGGGCCGCAAGGAGGACGGGGACAAGCACACGGACTCAGAGCCCCATGATGCAAGCCCCTCCTAAGAACCCGCGGCCTGAGCCCCCATCTAAAGAGCCAGCCTGGGGGCGGGGGGCAGAGACAACCGACTACCAGCCCGTTCTTGACGCAACGGGACATCAGCGTGGGGGCAGAGCCCCCCGGTACCGGTCCTGGGGAGGAAAGGCAGCCTTGCTGGCGTGGTCCTGCGCCCCCTTCCCACGCCCCTACCTGTCCGAGACCCACTTCAGGGAGCAGCGGCCCCACGCGGAGACCAGAGGGGAGGCCACAGCGGGACAGCCCCTCGCCCGCCTCCCCGCAGCCACGCGCAAGCGGCCTCCACGGAGCCCGGGACTCCATCTACAAAAGGGGATCGCAGGTCTGACTTCACGGGGCGGGGAAGGCGCTGTATGACGCACAGGCAGCACTCGCTGAACGGACGCTCGTCACCACCACCTCTGCCACCATGGGAACGTCCCTGCGGCGCCAGTTCCCACATAAAGGGCCGCCTCGCCGGAGAGCCCACCGTTCAACCCCATCTGGCGTCAGGCAGAGACGATGATCCAGCAGGCCCGAGGCCCCCCCCACCCCGCCTGGCTCCCAGTCCCCAGGCACACCCACAGTGCTGCGGCAGGATGAGCGTGACCTCACCCGGCAGCTGCGAGGCCGCCCGTGAGCTCATGCGTGTCCCCGTGGCTGTGAAGAAGCCCCACGGAGCCGCTCGCCACGCACGGAAGTGACGGCCATCCCACGGCCGGCCAAGGACGAGCGTGGCGCCTGGCCCGCCCCCGTCCTGCCCCGCCCCAGGCAGCTGGGTGACCCTGGGGACAGGCATCTGGCCCAGTGGCTGGGCACCTCCGTCGGCTTCCTCTGTGTAAGTGGAGGTCACACAAGCCTTCAGACTCAACTGTCCTGAGCTTCCGTGGAAGAGCAGAAACCCACCCCCCGCCCCCCAGCAAGCCACAGGCACTTACTCTAGTGCCCGGCACCTCAGCTCGACCTTCCGTTTCCAAGAGGAGTGAACCGGAAGAGCCCGGGGTGGGGGGCAGGGGTGTGGTGGCCCTGGACACGCTCAGGGGGCAGCTGCCCCTCTCCAGCCAAGAAATGGCCCCCGAGCCGACCTGGCCCCCCACCCGCCTCTCACTGCTCAGCCCAGCCTTGGCTCTTGCTGTCCCCGACCCAGCACGCCGCCTCCTTCCCCTGCACGCAGCCCCGTTACAGCTGAAGCCAAGACCCTCAGGAGCCCCGGCGGGGCGGGGCCTTACCTTGGACAGGTCCTCGGAGCCCCCGGGCTGGCCGCCAGCCAGCACAGGGGACGGCCGCAGCAGGGGGTCGGGCAGCAGCTCCAGGCGAGGGCGCTTGCTGTCGATGAACTCCATCTCCGACTTGCCCAGCTCGGGCAGGTACGAGTGGGGCTCGGGCCGCAGGTGAAGCTCCTGAGACCTGCAGGAGGCGAGGGCACGGGCATCACGTCTCCCGTCCTCCCCCGGGGCCCCCACGGGGCCCCGTGCCCGCTTCAGCCCTGAGGGGGACGGGCCCCCCACCCGGGGCATGCAGGCCCGAAACCCAGACCCGCCTTCCTTCAGGCCACCCCTCACGGACCACGTCTATGGGGAGGGATGTGCCCTGATCCCGCGCACCCTCACTCCGGAGTAGGGCCCCGGGACCAGACCATCAGCACCCGCCCCTCCCCCACCAAGACCCAGACCAGCTGAGTCACAGGCTCTGCATGTAGACAAGACCCCAGCACCGTCAAGTTCGAAAAGCACTGTGGGTCTGACCCACGTGGTGCCACCTGCACCTCACCCACCCAGGGCAGACGTCACCAGCCGATCACGGCTCTCCTGCCACCCAACCCAGCCCCGCCTCCTCCCCACGGAGCCGCCCAGCGCAGAGATGGGCGCTGTCCAGCCTAATCACGCCTGCCTGGCTCTCCTCCGCCCTCCTGCCAGCTTGTGGAAGAGGACACAGCCGGCCTAACCCTCCTCCCAGGGGCCTTCCCTGGCTCCCCCACCCTGCATGTGACAGGTCCCCCGTCACGTTCGGGAGTCGCCGTGCGCGCACGTGTGGGGCGCGTGTCCCGGCTCCACGGCAGCCCCTCTGGGCAGGGCCATCTGTTTAGGTCCCCACTGTGCGCCCACAGCCTGCAACGGGCCGGCCCAGGCCAGACGCTCAGGACGGAGCGATGGCGCTGTCGTCCTCCCGAGCACTCTGGGGCCCGGCCCTACCCTGGCTGCCACACGGGTCGTCCCCTCCCACCGGGCTCTAAGGAAAGCGGGGCCGGCCCGCGGCACCAGACACCGCAGGGCTTGGCCTGCCGGCTGAGGGGCAGGAGAGGACTCGGAGAGCCGGAGACAACAGAGGGAGAAAGGAAAGGGGGCTCCCTGTGTACACCCAGGTGTGGACAGGGCTCTCCCAACCAGAGACCCAGCCCGCTCCCCCATATCTTGGAGGCCCCCTTTGCCCCCCGCCTGGGCCGCACATCCAGAGGCCAGTAAAGCCCCACAGCGGGAAGTCGGCGCGAGGGCCGCGGGTTGCTGCGGGCACGTCTCCGTCCTCGCCCAAGGACAAGGGCGAGCACACAGCCGGACACCCCGGCCTAACACCGATCCAGCGGGCCGCTGCCCCCCACGGCCGTCTCTCCACCCAAGAGGCAGCCCGTGACTCTGGGCCGGCGCATGGGCCCCCCTCACCTCTCGTTCCCGGGCTGGAATTCGGACAGCAGGGAGGGCCTCCTCCGCTGGGGCTGGATGATGGAGCCGGGCGACAGATGCGAGGCGTAGTCCCGGGGGTGGTGCTGGTACTCGAGCAGCCCCACGTCCTGCGGCGAGAGGCCAGGTGAGCGGGCTCGGTGCTGGCGCGGCCCCGCCCCCGAGGCAGGCCCCGCCCACACCTCACCCAGGCCACGAGGCCCCGCGTGGCCAGAGGGCACTGCTGGGGCCCATCGCCCGCAAGAAGTGGCCCGTCCAGCCAAGGCGCCCTGACCTAGCGCTGCGCTCGGTCCCTCCCTCGGCTCCGTGATTCCGCCCATTTTCCAGATGAGACAACCGAGCCCACACGTTAGCAGGAGCGACTGGGAAAACACTACAGTCTGCTGTCCCCCCAGGGCACGAAGTGTACACGGCATCCGCCTGAGACAGGGAGGGTCTGTCCGTGAGGCTCACAGACCAGGCTCCGAAACAAAGGGAAAACCCAGCACGTGTGCCGTCACATAGATAAACAGAGATCAAAGTCAGGAGGATCACATTCAGGCAAAACCCTCCCACGTCAGTAAAATGCCATTCGTTATCCGTTATCATCCAGGAAAAACAAAACGGTAACAAATGAGACAAACAACAGTTCTCAATTTTTAAAAGGAGACACAGAGCCTTTCAAGCAAGACCCAGGACAGGCTTCCCAAGGGCGCCCATCCAAATCGATCGGTACCGAGTGTGGCAATCGATTAGTGATGTCTGGCACGGCGCGGCTTGGGGCAGAGTGGAAGCGCAGCTGATTTATCTTCTTGTTGACGCCTTTCTTCATTCTCCCAATTTCCCATAAAAATCGAGTCTCCCTTGGCTATCTGGCTGGCTTATTTAAGCAGCAATTTCCGCAAAGAGAATCAGGTGACAGCCGGGAGCTGGGAAGGTGTGTGGTTCAGACCCTCTAGACAAGCATGTCAGAGGCCAGAGAGGCTGGGAACCGGAATCGGTGGGTCCGTCAGGCTCCGCGGCTGGCGACGCCGCGGGAAGGGCCTTCCGGGCCACCCAGCGGGGCCTTGGGCCCGAGGCGCCCTTCCGTCAAGCAAGCCTGCCAGGCTCAGGTTCTCGCCTTTGAAAAAGGCGGCTGACCCGCACAGAAGGAGGCCTCCGTGCCTCCCGCCCCTAACCTCCCTTATCTTTCCAAGGTGTCCCCGAGGCTGAGGCCTCCAGACGGCAGGGAAGGGCTCCTCCGCCCCCCGCCCCCGCCCCCCAGGACGTCTGGCACAAAGCGCCAGGTGTTGGCAAACGGGAGGCAAACGGAGAGGCGGGGGCGAGGGAAGAAGAAAGGGCTCGAGGGAGGGAGGGGGGCCTCAGGGATCACTCTGGCGAGGCTGCCAGGCACAGAACCTCGCAGGCACGCACAGAGGTGTGAGAAGAACTCAGCAGGCCATGCAGTCTGCCAGGAGGGAATGTCTCCCACCGGCTCTTCCGCACGAACGCAAAATGAGCTGAGAGGCAGGGAGTGCACGGGGCCATCCCTGGGGGGGCGGGGGGCCGGGCTCCACCGCACCTGCAGCTGCCAGGCAAGGGGGCGGGGAGAGGTGGGTGGTGCTCAGCCGCGGGGGGTGACGGGGAGGGGGGAGGCCACCGCCACAGCAGCTCTCTGGCTGCAGTGTCCCAGGTCAGGAGCAAAGGCCGCCCCCTCCCGGGAAGCATCTGAGGGGCCCCTCCTGTGGGATCACATCACCTTCACTGAGGCCTGAGGCCAGTCTCTGGGGCTGAGCCCTGGGACCCCCAAGGAGCCTGGAAGCTCTACGGGAAGGAAAAAAAGCCCCCAAGAAGGTCTGACCCCGGGGGGGCTCACCGTGATCATGTGTGTGCCTAAGGCAGCCCTGCAGGCACCGCCTGCGCCCCCCTGCAGTGAGAACTCTGAGGCCCAGAGAGGTAAGGGCGCGCCTGGGTCACAGGGAAGGAGCGGGCAGGATCCTGCTGGGAAGAGAATCTTCTCTGCAGCCGGGGTGGGAGAAGGGGCGCTCCCTACCCAGGAGGGGCTGAGGCAACAGCTGGAGAGGCAACGGGAGGCAGAGGGAGAGCTTGGTCCGCTCCGGGTCCCCAGACTCCAGGGCAGGCCCTCCTGCACTGCCGAGGGCCCCCGTCAAGGCAGCTCCCGCCTCAGGGCCTTCGCACGCACCGTCCCCTCTGCCTGGGACGCTCTGCAAGCAGATGCCACGCGGCTGGCCCTCTTGCGCCCTCCACGTTTCCCGTCCAATGTCAGCTCCTCCTAAGCCCTCCTCTCCAGTCCCCCAACTTCAGTTAGGAACCACCCCCCGCCTCAGCCATCCCTCCCCCCACCTCCCCTGCTCTCCGATCCCCCACGAGAACATCAGCGCTGGGAGCAGGGGTGCTTCCACTGTGTTCCCGGCTACATTTCCAGGGCTGAGAAGAGATGCCTGGTGAGCGTCTGCTGAGCGAGCGAGCGAGGGAAGGAACGATGCTCCCAGCCTGGAGGCTCCCAACAAGCTGCCGCTGGGGGGCCACGCCGTCCCTCGGGAGCCATCCCCCAGCAGAAGGGACCACAAAGCACAGGGAGAGACCGCGCCCAGGCGGCATTCGGGAAAGAAGCCCAGGGTCCGGCACCCCAACCCGCCTGCCCTCCCCGCCCCCTTGTGCAGGTCCCGCTCTGGCCAGGCAGGCTGCCCCCCGGGAAGTGCACGCCCCCGCCAGCCCAGGGGCCGCACAGCAGACGTCTGCGTTCCGATGCTTTCCTACGCATCGCCAGGTCGCCGCGTCCCAGCGCACGGCCAGCACGTGCCCTGCTGGCCTCGGCCGACAGCCCCCAGGTCCACAAACCGGGTCACGCGCAGTAGGGCCAAGTATCCGTTTGTGACAAACTGGAAATTAAACAGACCGGCGTTTCCCACAGATTCTGATAAGCCCGGATCCAGGGCAGAAGTCAGCCAACCCAAGGCCAAAGCCAGGCTCGGCACACGGGTCACGTGTCCCTGGCTATACGTCCTTGCCAAGCCGCTTTCGCGAGACACCAGACACAGCGAGCAGCACCGGGTGCCTGGCCTGAAAGCCTGAAGTGTTTACAGAGCAGGCCAGCCCCCCTCCCAGAGAAAACCCCCCGCCATGAACCTGGAGGGGAGACAAACCGTGCCTGCCCTGCAATCCCCATCGCGGTGAGAGCACATCGGCGCACGCCGACGCTGCCCCGGTATCCCGCGAGGGCTCTGCTCACGCCAGCCGACCTGTCCCCGCCACCTCGCACATACTCTCGGTCAACGGATGGGGAAACTGAGGCAGGGGCAGTCATGACTCCCATCCGAAGTTCTTCAGCCAGGACATCACTGAGGCAGGACGTGAACTCAGCTGTCTGGCTCCAGGGCCTGGGCTCTAAACCGCCCTTCTACACTGATGCACAGAGGGGTTAAGCAACTTGCCCAAGGCCACACAGCAGGAAGGGACAGCTCTGGGTTTGCGATCATGGCTGTTTTGACTTTAACACTCATTCAGCACAAGGATGGCTGAAGCTCAGGAGAGCTAGGGGGGTCCAGGGCGCCGGGGGGGAGATGGCAGAACAGAGCTGGGCCAACCAAAGCCCCGCAGGAGGGAGGTGCGTCAGGACCCTCAGTGCTAGGAGACCCCCAGGGCCAGCAGCCCCCCCAGACCCTCAGGGAAAGATGCAGGGTCCTGATGCTGCGGGGGAGGGAAGCGGAGACCACAGAGACAGAGGGGACAGGGCACAGAGCCCCTGCAGGCGGAGCCGGGGTCAGAGGCTCGGCCCTGCCAGCCTAGCCAGAACTGAGCCTTCCGTCGGTGCCTCTGCACCTAACCGCCCCACCCCCCCACCGCCGGCGGCCTGCAGGCAACGCCGACAAAGCTCACGGGCACAGGCTCCCGCGGCCCCTCCTGGAGCCCAGGGCCTTGCAGTCCTGAGGGGAGTGGGCCCGCCCTGCCCCACCCGGAGAGAGCCAGCGACTGCCACGCACATCCCCCACCCAAGTGCTTGCTCAGACGCCCACCTGCAGAGGGAAAAGCGGAGGCTGCCCCACGGGGCCGCGAGAGCAGCTCGATGTCACTCAGCAAGTCAGCAGCAGCCGGGACTGAAAGCCACATCCTGAGGCTCTCTGTGCCCTGAGCACCCTGCAGGCGGTCTCCGGGGCCGGACGGCACCAGCCCAGGGGCAAGCCTTCCTGGAGCGGGCGGGGGAGTGAGCTGAGCCCGGGAAGGTCTCAGGGCCCCAGGGCCCCAGGCCCCCACACTGTCCCCGCAGCCCCGCAGACCTGTCTCAGCTACTGTGCCAGCAGCCAGGACAGGCGGGGTCCCCCGGCCCTCGGAGGGGGCCTCTGCCATTCCGCACCTCCGCTTCCCTTCCCTCCACGCTCTGTCTTCCAAAGCTCAGGCAAGGGGGCATCTCCCCAACGCTGCCTGCCTGTAGAACGCGCTGGTGGGAAGAGGGCTGGGTGGCACGGGGGTTCCAGATCACAGACCCAGCACCCGTCCCCCCACCACCCAAGGGAAAGAGCCTCGGGCCCAGGCCACGCGCCAGGAGAGCAAGACCCCCTCCGCCGACGCCAGGATTCTCGCTCCTTTCAGACGACGAGCAGGGCCCCAGCTGGGCCGCCCCAGCAAGAGGCAGACGGTCAGGGAGCGGGGTCCCTGCCACACCACCCAGGGCAGGGGGACCCGCTGCAGCCGCCAGGGCCGCTGCACACCCCTGGCCTCAGCCCCCGCCCGGCGGGCGGTAACCACGGGGTCCTGTCCAGCCACATCTGGTGTCGCCGACAGCCCCGGGGACGAAGAGTGGAAGCATCTGGGGTCCGCTGGAGAGGACCCAGCTGGGGGAAGGGCAGACGTGGCAGCAGGAGGGCGGGCGGCCCCTCCAAGCAGCAACGACAACAACAACAACGGACTTCACATCAAACAAGCCCAAGGGGTCACGGCGCCGGGCATAGCCGAGGAACCGCACGCAGAGCCCCGAGTCTGAGCCCCAGGAGGCGGGCGCTCTCGGGGACCCCGCTGCGGGCGAGAGACCAGGCTCGGAGGGGTAGCCCGTCCCACGCATTCCCTCCCCTGCAGAATGGTTCCCATCCACGAAACGGGGAGCGCAAGGGGCCCCCGGGCGATCGGGGGGAAGGAGCAAGGGCACGGCACATACTCGGGGCTCCAAACCCCACGCCTGCCCGGGCAGAACTCAGGACACGAGGGCTCATATTTGTTGTCACAACGCCAGATGGCAGTAATAGGTCGCACGCCCGCACATGCCCACACCCGCCCAAGCCCGCTCCTAGGCCAGGGCGCACAGTAGGCACCCAAGAAATGCAGGCAGCCCTGCCTCCTTCTCACAGCGACCGGAGCTCTGCACCCCACCCTGTGCGTGAAATGGGAGAGCACACCAGCTGCTCTTGCCCTGGGCTGTCTGTGAGATCCGGGCCTCCATCCGGGGACAAGGGCAGTTCTCACAACAGGGCTCCAGCGAGCGCCGGCTCTACCGGGCGTCCTGGGGGCCCATCTCCTCAGGAGGCCGCCGTCCGGGGCAGCCCCAGGCTGGGTCAGCAGGTTCACAGGAAAACGTGCTTCGCTCGCCGATGGAAACACACTCCACTGCCATTTCCTCTCTGTCTTGCGCGGAGGGACCACAGGGGCTGAGCAGGACACACGCCCTCCCACACACAGGCCAGCAGAGCCACGGCCACCCCCGCGGCAGGGCCTCACGCCCCTCACCGAGTCACCTGGAGGCCAAACGGGGGAGCCCAAGAGGACCCCAAGAGCCCTCCTGCAAGCACCCGAGGACGTGGTATACAGGAGGTGCCCAGTAACAGATGCCAAGAGAGCAGAACCAAAGGCCAAACCTCATGCAGCTAGAGGTGAAGGCAGGAAATGGGGCCCCACGAGGCGGCGGGCGGAGCGGGGGGGGGCACCCGAGGAGAGTCGCTCGTGAGGGCGCAAGCTCCCCCACAGGCAGGTGGTCCCCCGCCATGAGCAGGACCGCCACCTGGACCCCCAGATCCGGGACTCAGAGACAGGACGCAGCCTGGGCCTCATCGGCTCAGGGCCGAGCACCGGCCCAAGTGGACGAACTGCAGGCCGAGGGGCCGGGCTGCGGGGGCAGACGGACGGCCGGCCGCAGCCCCCAGGAAGCCGCCCTCATCCCAAAAGCTGGGGGGCGGGGGCAGGTGGGGATGGGCGGTCAGGAAGCACACGCAGCAGGTGCTCCACGTTTGCATGCAGATGCCACGGAGGACTCTGAGCAGCAGACCCGGCTCAGCTAACTTCACCAGACGCGCAAGGCCCGGAAAGGCCACGGTGCCCACGTCCCCTCGGCCACGGGAGCCACGCCAGCCCGGACTCCGAGGAAGATGGGGACAGGGCGGGGACTCGGGGACAGAAGAACGCCCCACAGGTGGCCCCGAGCACCCCTTACCGTGTGGGTTCGGGCGATCTGCACGGGGTAGGAGATGCCATGGGGCGGGTAGCGGGGCTCGGTGGCCCTCCACGTCTGTGCCACGGGCTGCGTGGACCCGGACATGGCGGGGGTGTCCGGACAAGCTCCCTCTCGACGGCCACTGAGGGTTAAGAACCTGTCCTCGTCATCTGCTCGCGGGCAGCGCGGTCACAGGCACCTGCGGGAAAAGCAGAGGAGCAGCAAGGTCAGCCGTGGGGCGCCAGTTGCGCCTGCGAGGATGAGCGGGGTGCAGGCCCCCCCCCACCGCCCGCCCTGCCCACGGACGACGCGCCGTGAGCTGCAGGACCTCCGAGCCGCGGGCCAGGCCGGCGGCTGCCCCGCAGGCCAGGTGGGGCAGAGCAGGCCCCAGGCAGCGCGCACAGAAGCCCAGCCGTGGGGACGCTGCACCCCATGCCCCAAGGTGTCCCAAGCCCCCTCGGGCCCCCTCGCCCCTGAGCTCACGCCAGGGTCTCAGCCGGCGGCCAAGTCACTGGGCAACTCCAACAGCACCAGCAGCTCATGGGGACACACAACTGTCTCGGGCGGTGGCCAGGCTGACAACTGTCAGCTCGGGTGGGAAGGAGGCCCCAGGGTGGCCCTCTCTCCGCCTGAGGGTGGCGCCCTGACGGGGGAGCAGGACCCACGTGGGGCCAGCCCAGAGCTGGGAGCAGGAGACGGGACACCAAGGACAAGGAGGGGAGCCACCTGGGCCACTGTAGGCTCCCAGGGAAAGGAGGGGGCCCCGGGGCCACGCCAGACAAAACCCCAAGGATTACCACTGGCCTCACACATGGGCAGCTGAGACCCGCAAAGAAGGACTTGAGTCAAGGAAGCAAGGGAGCCCTAGTCAAAAGCCCTTCACCCAGAAGTTTCCGGGGGACCCCACCCTCCCCAAGACCCTTCTCTGCCGGCCCAGCTTCACGCCCCCCCACCCAGGGTTATGAGGGGCTCCTCTGCCCACGCCCAGGTCCCCCCGACACGCAGCCACTCAGAGAGGCTGTGTCTGTCAGGCCCTGCCAGGTGCAGACCTGACTCCCATGCCGAGCCGGAAAAACCCAGGATGGTGCAGGCGCCCAGCACCCGCCCATTCCCACGTGATGGGGCGGGCTGGGCTGGACGCTGAGTGACCAGGTGAACAAGACACGCCCTGCTTCCTGCCCTCCCACAAACGACTGGCCAAGCGTGGCCACCCTGCCCTGGCACGGGCAACCCGCCCCCCAGAGGTCTAAGGTGGGCAGACGTCAGGAGGGGAGACTGGTCCGGGGGTGATGAGACACCCCGGTCTGGGGGCCCTGCCTGCACCTCCTCCCACCGCATCTCCTGCTACTGGGGACTTGACTTTCCTTTCCGGAACCATCTTTCCTCCCCAGGATCCAGAATTAATCACATGATCTAGGCATAGCCAATCAGATTCCTGCTTCCCCTGGACCAGGGATTGGTTCAGGGATGGGCATGTGATCCACTCTGAGCCAATGGGAGTCCATCCGGAGCTTTCGGCTGGAGGAGCCAGGAACAGGTCCCCTGTCCTGCGGCCCTAGGCTGGGAGGACAGCCTGGAGCTCACAGGGTCGCCCGGTGGCAGGAGCCCGTGGAGACGACGATGCCAACCAGCGGGAGGGCAGGGCTGGGGGCGGAGGGCGTGCAGTCGGGCCCTGATTGCAGCCGGGCCTGAAGGCGGATCCACGCCTGCGCGGGGGAGCCCGGGCGGCCCTTCAGCACGCTTTGCCTTCGCCGGCCGCACCGGGGTTCTCGTCCCTTGCCACCAACAGTTCCGACTCACCCCGGGAAGGGAGGGCCACCGAGGGGGCAATCCTGCCGCTGGGTGCCATCGGTCCATCCAACCCCGAGAAGCCACAGAGGTCCAGCGCCAGGACGGACGCCCCGTGCCCCTTGGGTAGTCACCCACGTGCGCGTTCCCCAGCCGCTGGGACAAGGTGTGCGCTGCTAGCACAGGGACACGTCCTGCTCAGTCTGGTGTGGGCGGGGGAGGGGCCACCCTGCCAGTTCCCACCGGGGACAGCGTGGCATCGGTCCTGCTGCCCAGAGAGCAGACTGGGCTTGGGAGAGGGGACAGGCGCGGCCGCCCATGCTGGACCCGCGTCCAGAACTCCCACCTGTCCAGCTGGCCTCAGAACCCACAGACCCCCGTCGGCCGTCCGGTGCAACAGAACCTTCTGTTCCACCCTGTCCCTGGCCTTCCCGCAGCTGCCCGCCCAGCTCTCCCCGGAGACGAGCCCAGAGCCCCCCAGAAGCGCTGCTCCCTTCCTGGGCCGTGTGTCCTTCCGCCAAGCGCCTGGGGCCACTTCCAAATCACTGTTTGATGTTCTGTCACATACAAGTGTCCTCTAACCTCCTCTGACTAACAAAATGCTGACGAGGGGATGGCAGGCCCCTGCCGGATGCTCAGTCACTCAGTGTGTGGGTGTCAGAGGCCAGGGAGGTGACACCTTTTCAAAGCAGCCCTGAGGAGTCCGCGGCCACCTCCCTGCCCTCCTGGCCTCAAGGCCCCGAGCTGGATGGCTGCCCGCTCCCCAGAGACTCACAGGGTGCCCACCGCCCAGCTTGCGGGGCTGACGCCCCCACCCCCCACCCACCAAGGGGTGGCCGTTCTCGCGGGCAGGCTGTCCCCAAAGCTGGGAGACTCCGGGGACCCCCTGGCCTCTGCATTCACCACGAACTTATTCCATAAACCCAACTTCCACTCCTCCCCACCTCAGTCACATTTCCTAAAAAAATTTTTTAGGAAAACAGTCTGGCAGTTCCTCAAGCCGTTAAACACAGAGTTACCAACTGCTGTGTTACCAGCTCCTGAGCACAAACCCAGAAGAGCTGAGAGGGGGGCCTCTCGCGGAGGACGGTCCGCGTGCCACAGCGGCACCCTCGCCGCCGGAGCGGAGGAACCCAGCCCCGCAGCAGAGGGGACAGTTAAACACGCGTGGTCCCCGTGCACAGTGGAACGGGACTCAGCCGTGAAAGGAGCGGAGCACCGACCCCCGCTACCGCGGGACAAGCCCCGGGAACGCGACGCGGCAGGTGACGTACAAAAGCCGGGCAGATCCCGAGACGGAGCGCGGACTGGGGGCGGCGGGTTTGGCTCCCAGGGCCATGAGGAGCCATGGACGGTGGCGGAGCAGGGCGGCGAGGGCGTGTGACCAGCAGGTGCTGTGCAGGAGTGGAGCTGGCCGGGACCCGTGGGGGGAGGGGCTCCTGGAAACGTCCCCACGCGGGACGATGCTGCTGGGGCTGGGTGACAAAGAAGGAGACTCAACGAGCCTCAGACATGGCCCTGTGGGAGGGGCCAAGCAGACCCAGGGACGGGCCCAGCCCACTTTGGGCAAGATGCCGCGGGGCTCTCGTCCTCCGCTGCTGGGGGGAGCTGGTCAATCACCACCATGTGCTGGGTACACAGCAGGTGCTCAATGAGGAGAACTCAGCAAGGTCCGGGCTGCCAGGAGAAAGGGCAGTGCTTTGGCAAGGTTAAGGACCCCCTTGCAGGTGGCACGGGACGCAAGCTTCAAACCACGGCACCAGGGCACCAGCCCCATCGCCCACAGAGCCGGTCAGCGGAGGGCCAGGTGGGAGGCAGGGGCTCCCCGCACGGACCTCTCCGCTCCTCGCAAGCTACGGGCTGATGGGGCAGCACCCCGTGACCCTGCTAACCCCACCCTCCCCGGTTCCCGCCCACGGTGCAGCGCTGGTGAGCGTCCCCAGGGTGGAAGTGCGCTGCGCGGCTGGGACTTCGTGCCCGCCTGGCTCTCTGCTGGACCCTGCAGCCGATCACAGCGCGGGGCCCACAGCAGGTGCTCGACGAGGGACTCTGTCCAGCAGAGGCGAGGTCCAAGACGCCCACGTAGGCCCATCTCCCCCACTGGGCAGACGCTCCTTTTGGGGGGCGGGGGATCCTGCCCCCACACTCCTCTCCAGCCCCAGGGAGGACGGTCGCAGCCACACCGAGACGCATTCCACAGACTTTCCACGTCCTGGGCAGCCCGGCTCTGGGCTGGGGAGGCTGGGGCAGCTGGCGTTACAGCTGGGATGCCTCTGGCCGGGGGCGGGAGGCCGGGGGCCGGGGGAGGCGCCCGTTAAAGGTGACGGAACGGCTGAAATGAGCCTGGGAGCCTAGACCCGAGCCCGCGCTGGGGATGAGACAAAAGGTGAGCTGTCCGCGCCCCGCGGGCCTGTAATTCTCTTGGAACCAATGGGCACCAACACTGACCTGGTCACAGATGGGGGAGTCTCCGAATTAAAACTCAGCGGCCAGGCAGGGGCAAAGCACAGGCACACGCCTGCACGCCCGGCAGAGCCCCCGGTGCCTGGAGCAGCCACGGCCGGCCCGCCGCAGGCCCGACCCGCCAGCTCCCTCGCCGCGGGCTCCTCCGCACCCAGCACAGGGTCTGACACACAGGGGCTGCCCCACGCTCGTTTCTCCCGAGAGCCGACTCCCGCACGAGGGGCATGGTGCGTGGAGCGCAGTAGGCGTACAGGCTTCCTCGAGCTGCCGTGGCAAACAGGCCTGAACTGGGGGGCTAAAAGCAGCAGGGACGGATTCTCTCCCAGCTCTGGAGGCCAGAAGCCCAGACCAAGGTGCCGGCAGGGCCGCGCGCCCTCCGGAGGCTTGGGGGCGGGTCCCGCCTGGTCAGCTCCTGGGGGCCCCGGGCACCCCTGGACCCGTGGCGCGGCGCTCCCGCCTCTGCCTCCATCGTCCCGGGGCCTTTTTAACACCGCGCCTCTGTGTCCTCGCTGCCACGCTCTGTCCTCTCGGTGGCTTTAGGGCCTTCTCCACTCGAGTCACCACCTCCTCTTAACCAATTCCCTCAGCAAAGACCGTCGCTAAACAAGGTGCCTGTGCAGGTTCCAGGCAGCAGGGAGTCGAGGGGACACTATTTAACCCCACAGAGCAGGGGCTCCATCAACGTTGGTTTTGTGCACCTGCCACACTGTCCGGGCCCTGAGGGCCCAACGTGGGGTGCTGCTGCCGGCTCACCCCCGGAGCGGAGCCAGGCAAGACGCCCCCATCCCGAACTCATCAGCCCGGCCAGTCAGGAGGTGATCTGGGCGCCTGCAATAGGCAGGCACTGGGGACACAGCCGAGAGCCCTGAAGGCCCGCCGGTCGGGGCGGACGCCCAGCAGAAGGACTGGCCCACCCGGGGGGCCCCGGGCCAGGTTCTCCAGGAGACG